AGAGGGAGTTTTAATAGTTGGGTCACACGTGGTGCTGTGGGTTAAACCATAGAGTCTAGGACTTGCTGATCAGAAGGTCGGTGGTTCGAATCCCCACAATGGGGTTCACTCCCGTTGCTTGGTCCCAGCTTCTGCCAACCTAGCAGTTCAAAAGCACGTCAAAGTGCAAGTAGATAAATAGGTACCATATTTTTCGCCCTATAGGGCGCACCGGCCCATAGGACGCACTTATTTTTTTGGGGGGGGGGGACTAAAGGAAAAAAAAATCCCCACCCCGAGCTTCAAAGAGCAAAGAAGCCATGACAGCCAGCGGGTTGTATCCCGCTAGCTGTCCTGGCTTCGTTTTTAGCCTTGGGGCTGGGGGTCTGGGAGTGAAGGTGAAGTTGCGCAACGTCGCCATCGCTCCCGGAGCTTGTGGGGCTGGGGTCGGGGGAAGCCCAAGCGTCCCCTGACCCCAGCCCCCAGAACGGATCTGGGAGCGATGGCGAGGTTGCGCTCAACCTCGCCATCGCTCCCGGAGCTTGCGGGGCCTCCGCAGGGCAGCAGCGAGCCTTCGCGGGCTACCCCAGAGCTGCTCAGGAGCTTACCCCACCAGCCCCAACAAGCTCTGGGAGTATTCCCCACCTCCCGCAGAAGTCGCACGCTCTTTAAAGGGGCTGCGCGGCTTCTACTGGCTTTTCTAGGAGATGGGGGAATTCCCCCACCTCCCTGAAAAGCCCGCAGAAGCCGCACGCTCTTTAAAGGGGCTGTGCGGCTTCCATTGACTTTTCTACCAAAAGCCCGCAGGCTGCTGTCCGCAAGCCTTGGGAGCCCGGCGGGAAGTCACGCCGGGCTCCCAAGGCTTGCGGAGAGCTTCCTGAAGTCTGAAGAGCGAGAGGGTCGGTGCGCACCGACCCCTCTCGCTCTCCAGGCTTCAGCGAAAGCCTGCATTCGCCCCATGGGACGCACACACATTTCCCCTTCATTTTTGGAGGGGGAAAAGTGCGTCCTATAGGGCGAAAAATACAGTACCGCTTTGGCGGGAAGGTAAACGGTGTTTCCGTGTGCTGCTCTGGTTCACCAGAAGCGGCTTAGTCATGCTGGCCACATGACCCAGAAGCTGTACGCCGGCTCCCTTGGCCAATAAAGCAAGATGAGCGCCGCAACCCCAGAGTCGTCCACGACTGGACCTAATGGTCAGGGTCCCTTTACTTTAACCTATGTGGTGGGGTATGATTTCTATTGAGTGCAGCTGATAAGGGTCCCCTGCTCTCCCCCCCACCATGAAATTTAAAGCGGGGGGAGCCGTTTCTATGATGTGGGCTGGATGAAGCATTGGTAGTTTGTGCGTCACCAGCCGTCTGTCTCCACCGTTCACCCCTTGCCTACCATTTTTATATTCGGTATTTCTGATCTTGCAATGCAGCCTTGCGATTTCATTTTGCAAAGGTCACCTTCCTGGGACAGGTGATAATTAAAAGCAATATAAAGGTATAATTTCTGCAGCAATGATAATCCTATGTAAAAGCACCTGAGAGTAAGACCCATTGTATACAGAGTCAGATTTACTTCTGAGTAGTGCTACAGGAAGGCATAGGATATGGGAGGGGATGTCTGTCTCTCTTCTCTCACTGCTACCTCTCTCCCCCCGACACACACTTCCAGTTTTGTCTATTTATGCTAGTTGAAAGAAAGCTGGTGCAAAACATGCCAGTGTAAAGGAACAAAAAGGGGCATGTGGATGGTGGGAAGTGGGATTATTATTATTAATAATAATTGAATTTATATACCGCCCTATACCCCAAGGTCTCGGGGCGCTTCACTGAATAAAATCAAAATATAAAACCACAAAATACATAATCAAAATAAAAACAACAACCCTAATAACCCCCACTCCCAAAAACCACATTTTAAAAGGGCATAGGATCATCACAACATTTAAAGTAAGACAAAGCCACTAGTTGGAAAGACCATGATCTCATAAATGTTTGCAGGAATATTTATTGGCAACCAAATTGACTGGGTAAGTTTCTGATACAGTAGTTAAGCTTCTTACTGGTTCTTTGCTTATGTTTCCTTTTTTCTTTTTCCAAGCAGATAATGTATCAGCTCCCTAAAAAAAGGTCAACAACTCTGGGGTGTGTGCAGGAGGGATCTTTGCACCATGGCGCAGGATATGCTGATAATCTGTGTAGTACTTCAGAACTAGAGATAGATACCAGCCACTTTACCTGCCCACAGTTGAGATCCACTAGCATCTAAGCTCATGCATTGCACTGCTTACACAAACAGGCCACTCCAGTTAGTTACCACAGCTGCCATAATCATGTCTAACATTGATAAACACTTGCTAAGTCCTGTGAAAAGTGACATTTTCCAGTTGAAATAGGAGACCATAATAGAGATGGAGATTTTGTTCAGTCCATATTTTAAAGTGAACTGGACTCATTATTAGTTGAGTTTCCAATCTGTGTCGGATTTCTCACTTCTCCAATTTTTGCAGTGCAGTTTGGGTTCAAAAATCTGCACAAAAATGTGTATATTAAGGGAATGTACATGGAAAAGCATGGAGAAATGAATGTTTTAGGGGAAGAATGCATACAAAATAGTGTTTCATTAAAAAAAATAAGAATCCACAAATATGGGTTAGCAGAACAGACCTATAATTGAACACATAGGAAACTGACCTGGAATGGAAATAGGATGATCTGTCCATTGTTAGTAATCTTGTTCTTCTTATTGGCATCCTATGAATATAATAAAAGAAGACTCTATGTCCATGTTCAAAGCACAGGCACTCCAGATGGTGCTATTCTGAGGTGCAGAATGATGAACTCTTTGGGTGACACCAGCTTCATGATAACAGGATTTTTTCTACACTCCCTAGGCATGCATTAATCAGCAGTGTTCCACCTTCTGTTATATCTTACTGCTTAATTAACAAATGCAGTGAGGAGAGCTGGCAGCCAGGGGCAATGACAATGTGACAGTCGACATTGGCATGTTTTTGCACTTTATTTCAAAAATTGTTAATGTTACTCATTATAGCTTCACACAGAAGCGACTACTTCTTCACCTACCTACCACTACAAATGTGAGCAGCATAAATCACATACTTAAACAGAAGTATGGACATGAGCAACTGTATAGTCAATTCTATGACCAGTTGATTAAGCTCCCGTTTTAGGGAGAGAGGGCAGGAGAAGGCCAAATATTTGTTTTCATACTGAGTTCACTCAATGTCAGTAATGACCTGTCTTGTTATATGGTTCTGCAGAGCTGGTGGTTTTAGGGCAGGGGTTGGCAAGGCTTACTGGGCATGGGCCGGATCACTCCCGTGGAGATCCTCTGTGGGCCGGACCGGCTCAGTGCGATGCTGGAAATCACGCCTGCGCATGTCCGCAGCACCAGAAACCGCTACTGCACATGCCTAGGCGCCGAAAATATGATTTTCAGCATCTGGGCATGCACAGAAGCGATTTCCGGCACTGCGGACATGTGCAGACATGATTTCCGGCGACTGGGCATGCGCAGAAGCGATTTTTGGAGCCATGGAAGAGAGTCTCTGCACTGCACTGGTTTAGTGCAGCAGGCAGGGACTCGCTGAACAGGTAGCTTGGTTCAGGGGTGGCTCATGGGCCAGTTAAGTGACCCTCATGGGCCACTTCTGGCCCATGGGCCTTAGGTTGCCGACCTCTGTTTTAGAGGCTATGCTGACCTACCCGAGAGAGGGGCAAATGTTTTGCTAAAACTGAGAAAGAAAAAGATGTGAATATAGACAGCATTGGAGCAGTTATATATTATACCGTTTTCAGTACTGTAATTTTTTTTAGAATGAATATATCAGGGCACATCCCATAACTTTCTGCTGAAATCCTGTAATTTTTCACCCCACAAATATTTTATTTATTTGTTTTTCATCCCACTTTTGTTGCACTATAGAACATGAGTGCCCCTCGAAATGGCAGTAATGCATTAATATTGAGAGAGCATCTCAGAACAACTAGTGAAGTAGATTGATGTGTGGGCAGTCTAGCATAAGTGTATCACTAATGCACCATGATTGCTTCAGTGATATTTTGCAGAACACACACACAAACCAATCTGGGTAGGGAGGGCCCTTCGCCAAAGTTCCGATTTTGCTCGAGATGACAAATGAATATACAGCTGCCCCTCACAATGTGGAACTAGAGTTAAGGTGTAGCATCTGCTCAGCTTTCTGTGAAACAAATGCTAAAACTGATTTTTCCAGTTTGTGGCAGCCTTACTCCAGGTTCCCCACCACCACCCAAAGGTCACTTAAATCATATTTTGAATCACAGCAAGTGAGGGAAACAGAATGAGTTTTTCTACTGTGCTTGTTGTTTTTGTGAATACAGTGATACCTTGGGTTACAAACACCTCGGGTTACATACACTTTGGGTTACAGACTCCACTAACCCGAAGTAGTACCTCGCGTTAAGAACTTTGCTTCAGGATGAGAACAGAAATCGTGCTCCGGCGGCACAGCGACAGCGGGAGGCCCCATTAGCGAAAGCGCCCCTCAGGTTAAGAACGGTTTCAGGTTAAGAACAGACCTCTGGTTACAAATTAAGTTCGTAACCAGAGGTACCACTATAATGTAAACTGTACTGTGCAAACTCCCCAGTTACACCAGACTGTGTACAGGAAGGATTGGACTCTTAGTTTGTGCTAGAGTCGCCCACTTATGAACTGCACCTCTAGCTATGCCTTTAAAAGCAATTTGATCTGCAGGAATTAGCAGGTAGCGACATTAACCTCCATCCTGTCAAAAGCTTTGCTTGCTAATTGCTACAGATCAGGAGCCTGTTGAAGGCACAGCTACAGGGCTGGTTTGAAAGTTGTCTTGTGCTGCTAGCAACTTCCCCCTGCACATCTCCCCAAACAGCTGGTTAGTTCACAATCTATCTTGAATAAGGATGCTTGCCACCCCAAAGACCTTTGTCTGGAAGTATTCTTTTTCTAATTAATTCTCATGTATTCCACTCACAAATATACATGATTCAGTAAAGTGGCCTTAGTTTATTAGATAGCACATTTCTAAAGAACATCTTTTTCTCTGTTTACAAAGCAGATTGTGTGATAGGTGTTTAATTTTTTAAAAAAAATTGAAAGGGGGAAAAATCAACAGTGCAAAATGACATTATATTTACGTGGTCTGTCTTCTCTGTTCTTTATTCGCTCCGTGTTTTGTTCGTTCGTTTGTTTTCCTACAAATATGATTTCTCAGTCACTGGAAGGTTTGAAATGCTGATTTAAGTTACACAGAGTTACAAAAAAAGAAGAAGGATAGAACAGCACACATACAAGGTCTAAATCATGGTTTAGACCAGAAACTGTTGTGCTGTCCTGCGGATAGGAGCGCTGTATAGCTAAGCGCTATTGCTTGTTCTTCAGAAAAAGAGTCTCTGGTGTGTTTAATGTGGCTTCTGCCTCCCCTACTTTACCCCCTTGGCTTTCAGAGCCCTGAAACTGTTCAGCTGGGAGTTTCTCACATGAGTCTGGGATGAAAACCAGGGAACCACCAGGTAGCTGAGTTCTGATAAGAATGTGCAGCCTCAAAGCTTAGATTCCCAACACCTCTTAACAGATTTCCTCTTTCTCCGGACTCTAATGTAGCATATATAATTATGCACAAAGGGATACTGTATATTTTACTTAGATATCTCTTGCTTCATAAACATTGGATTGAAAAAATATTTTACAAAGGAAAAAGACTTTCCCCCCGCAGATGTCATTCAATATATTGCTATACCTTATACCATATTGATAATTATATACAAAACTTTTAAATTGCCTCTTAGAGATGCATGGAAGCATATAATATAACAGTTTGAAAGTATCCCATTTAAAGGGTTTTTCTTTTACTTAAAAAGAATCTTGGCTCATGTCAGTCTCTTGAATAAACTATGACTGCATGAAGAATATAATAGGAATTATTTGGAATGTCATTTAAGATTTAAGAATAACTGGAAATATTGTCCATTTGTGGCTTAATTGGGGAGCACCAGCCTCAGAGAACTGGTGGAAATAGCAGCAGCAAAAGTCTTAAACAGTGGTGTAAAGGCGATTTAGTGTACAGTGCTGGTGGCTACTGGTTTCTGCTGTTTATCCTGTGCTCTTCTTTTCTTCAACTGTGTTTTACTTTTGTTGTCCCGTTCTCGGTTTTGTCTTCTAGATTCTCGACCACTGTTTTCCTGCCTGTTTTCCTTGCTTTCTTCTGTCTTTTGGTTTTTTCTTCTTTCCTCTCTGCTTCTTCTTCCTACAGCAAAAAGCAACAAGACCATTCCTTAAAACGTATATTCACTGTTCTTCAGAGGTTGTTGTTATTCCCTCCCCCACCCTTTAACTCTGCATTTCTACAAATGTGAACAGTAACTGGAAGCACACACCACTTCAAACTCTTGTCTTAATCATGACACGTTACTCCAATACAGAAAATGCACCCATTTCTTTTTTAAGTATTTCACACTTCATAGACATTTTGGTGATCATTCTTGTAAAAAATTCCTTCTAGGATTGCTCCAGTTGTTCTCCAATAGGAGTTATTCTATAGCCTGCAGCCACCATATCAGTAAAAATAATTAGACATAATAAATGGCAATGTGCTAGAATTCAATATAAGTTTTGCTGCATACATTTTAACCATTAGTAATGTCCTATAGCAATATATTTCCCATAAAGTATTTGTATATAGTCTGCTAGGAAGAAATATAAATCAGCTGGTGGCAACTGGATTTCAAAAGTGTGTGCCCATTTGTAGGTTTGAGACACCTGCATCTACAAATATGTGGGGAAAGAAATATGTAAATGAAACTAAGTTGGATTTCAGTATTGGAAGTATTATTTGTAATGCAACAATTAAGGTGGATAACGAACAATTCCTGTAGTTCTGAATGTCACAAATTGCATTGGTTTAGGTGAAGTAGCAATAAAAATCCACTAAGGGGCACCATTGAGCTTTCTGAACCCATCTTTTGCAGTCTGTTCAGAGAGAATAGGATTCTTTCCAATGTGAAAAGAAAAAAACTCATCCTCTTGTGCAGAAGTCTGGGGTTAAAACAGGAAGGATAGTGAAGAGCACTATTATCCTGGGTGTATACATTATATATGTTCTTTTTCTTTCAACCACACTGGTGCTCTGTGAATCAATCTGGTTTACCACACTGAGAGGATACAGGAAGATAGCACTCACACAGTCAGCTGTGGTATTCAGCTGCAGAAATGTCAATATAAAACAACTAACAGTGCAACCCTGTATTTGACTTTTCAGAAGTAGGTCCCATTGACTTCAGTGGGAATTACTCCCAGTCCAATGTGCTGTGGTATTACTGCTTAACCCACAGAAAGAAACAAGAGTGGGAATTGTAATCAAAAACCGTGAACCAGAGATGCAGATTCTTATTAACAATTGCAAGAATGTGCTGAATGTTTGTATAAATGAAGTCTACTCTTTCACCTGCTGAACCTTGCACACTGAATTATGCATGGAATGCAAAGGCGGTAGGGGAAGGTGTATAATTTAAAGCTCCATGAGCTTGTCCCACCTGGAATTACTAGCCTGCAAGTCCACCATGGTAGGAGGACAATGACAATAGTGCAAGGCTATGTGGGGAAAGCTTCATTAAGGTGCACCCAGCTAGCAGTGCTTTTGTTGCCTCTTTCCATAAATCAATTCAATATGGCTTAAAAAGGAAAGCATACAGATATATAACTCCAATTAACAATCCCCGATTGGGAAAATGCTCTGGAAGAGCCAGTGTCTCCAAAACCACTGATGCAATTCTTGTTTACTCCTGGGTCAACTTCAAGTCACCTATAGTCCATTAATGCAACGTTACATAAATTCCTAGCTCCTTTCTCATTTCCAAGAAGCATGACCAATTTTTTGGAGAAGGGCCAACTTTCAAATACACTCAGACTGAACTCCACAGATGTCTGCCAAAAACATAATTTTAAGGACCCCTTCTCCCAAGGCTCCCATCCAGCACGAAAGTGATTGCATTTTCATTTGCTAGCCTTTTTTTTAATTCATTCAAGGAACAGCATGATTCCCCAGTATTTCAGGTACTCAACGACTTGTGCCATTTCTAAAGGAAGAGAGTAAATGCCAATCCTGCTCCCCAACCTCCCAGAAGCTTTACCCTGGTTGCAGGCTGGGATGAAATTATCTACTAGCACAGTCCTGCTGGCACGGGAAGCAGAATGAAGAGCTCTATGGATGCTGGCATTAGAACATGTGGCTTCCAAGTTATTATTACTAATGACATTTTTAGGTTAGGCTGAGCGAGTGAGAGTCTGGCCCAAGGTCACCCAGGCGAGTTTCATGGCCAAATGGGGATTTGAACTCAGGCCTCCCTTGGTCCTAGTCCAAGCACTACATCATGCTGTCTGTCCGCAGCCACACACTTGCACTCTTCCCTTGGGCTCAAGCACACAGCCGTATCATTTAAAGAGAGAGGTTTGAGCAGCAACAGGCTATCCCGTTGGTCCACCTTATGGCAAATCATCCTTGCAGCCAGATTATGTATCTGCACAAACACAATTTATGAAGCATACATGGCCTCTTAGTCGTTCTGTTTTTATCCGCTACAGTTTTAGGCCATGAGCTGCAGCCTGTAAGGTCAAACGGGATATGGAAGAGGAGAAAGGAGTGGAGAGGGGTGCTCTGTCAATTTTCTGCATTTAAGGCCTTATGCTAATATACCCCTTCCACTATAAATTTAGACACATATAAATAAAATAAAGAAGATCAGAGATAATAAAGCAAATTTGATTTGAACAACTGTTTATGCTACAATGCAGATAAGGAGAAAGAATGCAGAAGTATTCATATTAGTTTTTAAAAGGGCATATAAACTTAATATTTACTTTTTAAAAAGATATTTCCTGGCCTTTTTGTGAAAAATTTTGAATGACAGCATGAAAATTACTTGCCCTGGCAATGTTTGATTCAATACTTATCCTGGCCAAATCCACAAGATGTTCCTGAGACACTGTGGACCTTAAATAATTTTTAATTAGCTGAAGTTTGCTAAATGACCTCCCTCCAGAAGCTGCTGTTGCTTACTATTGTTAATAGTATTCTTAAGCTAACACAAACATTTGAAAATCTGTACTTTGTAGTCTGTTAACACGTTCAACAGATCTAATGGCTTTAACTGTGCATTTACAAAATTTGCTTTATATACTGAGGGTAAATGTTGCATTTCCTTTCCAAAATTTTCACCATTAAGGTCAGCAGGATATTCCTCTGATAAAGATAAGGCTTTCCTCTCCACATCACGTTTGGACATGGTGAAATATTTCTATAAGAAATCAATATTTTCTGCCAAGCGCTTAAAAGCATTGAAGCGGACAGTTAATCCTGCTACCAAAATGTAAAACACACACTTTCTGAAGTAGGCCTCTTCTGGAATATCATCTATGCTATTCATTTCTTCCATGTTAGCAGTAGGTGTGCTGTCGTTATGCAGCCTTGCCCTCTTGCGCCTGACTCCATCACATCTATGGGAGAGTTTTATTTCTGTATTTAAGTTTGATGCAACCAGTTTGGCTTCATTCCACAGGCATTTCCAGTTGTTTTGAAGTTTTATCAGCTCTGTGAAGAGAGTTTCTATGTTTGCTACTTCAATATCCAGTGTGGCATCTCTTATCTTGATGACTTTGTTGTATATATCAATGCCAGCTAATATTTTGTACCGCATGACTGCCAGTAACACACAAGCAAAAGATGTCACATGTTAAATCTCCATGGAATTCATTTCTCATTTGGGCTGTCAAATTTAGTCCTAGGAAGTCTTCCAGTGCTAATTTAATGCTAGGCAAGGGAGCTGCAAATGACTTTACACATTCAACATGATCTGACCATCTTCTTTCAGACGTACCATGAAGAAAACAACCAACCAAGTTTTGTAGTAATTCCCACCACTTAGGACAGGAACTGAACAGGTGGTACACAGTTTGAATTATTCTGAAAAAGGTTATGGCTACAGGTATGCATTCAGCAGCAACATTTCCACATAAGGTGAGTGTGATGTTTGTTATTGGTCTTCCAGCACTCTAACCTCTCCCATTAGATTCACTTGAGGTCATGGCTATTGCTCTTTTCTTTTTTCCTTTTCTTTTTGAGATTTTAGTTCAGCTAGTGGAGGCATTTGAGCAAACCAGAAACACAGATCTGATGCTGTATTATGTCAGAGCTGCATGTTTAGTCTGCCCTTCGAGAAATAATCAGGAAAAGTTATACATGATAAGAGACAGATGCTTCTATCCTGGCAGATAATCTGAACTCATTCTAGAACAATATTACAATGGGAGAGAGCACCCAAAGGAATAATTTGATTTCATGTTAAAAGGATTTGCAATCCAACCACTTTGTAATGAACAATGATACTGCTTCTTTTTGAACTCGCACTTAAAAATAACTGAAATAAACCAATGTGTAAATACATTGTGCACTATTTGAAATTTGTGCAACACTTTTCTTATGCCATTGGCCATCTATTTCCTTAGTTCCCAAAATCAGGGCTAGATGATTGTAAAGTCCAATGACCTTGCTTCAAGAGAGAATCAATCCACGCACCATTTGCCATTTGTCCTGTTGCGTTCTCCTCTCCACTACTTAACACATAACGTGGAATACCATATATCACAGAGAACAGAAGGAAATGGACTGCAACATAGCAAGAGACCTGTAGAACAGATGGTTCCATCCAACTCAGGCCAAACCATATGCTACAAGGAAGAGGGGGCGGAGAGAGTTAAATATTTTCTAAACTACTTCCTGATACCAAATATGGGAGCAAAACCAGCGTAGGGAACCGAAGGCACCCTTTCAGATCAGGTTTGAATAGCATTAGCCCACATAAGCACTGACAGCCATACCATATGTTTAAAGCACATCTTCCCCCGAAGAATCCTGAGAACTGTCGTTCATGAAGGGCGACAGAAATTTCGGTTCTGTTAGGGGTAAACTACAGCTCCCAGAATTCCTTGTGGGGGGAGGCTATGGGCTTTAAATGTATGGTGATATGTGGAAAGAGTAATTTCTGAAAGCTTCCATTTCTCTGTCCAGGAGCATTTATTGACTCAATTTCATACTGTATTACCTGCCAACAGAATGTCACTATGAGATGAATGAAACAATAAAGCTGAAAAATAAATGAATGCCCCCCCCTTTCTGTAGTGGTGCACCCCTTTCTGGCTTTGACCCCATGCTGTTCATGCATGGGGGGGGGGCAGTCTGAAGGATGGAAGTCTGCTGAAGATGTGCAAGCTGTCTTCATACACTGTAGCCCTGAAGAGTCAGGGTTCCAACCCATAGAGGCAGCCTGCTTGCACTTGACAGGTCAGAAGAAGCCAGGTGACACCAGGAATGGGCCTAAAAGGTGCAACCCTGTAGCCCCTTTATCCTGCGAAGGGGGCTGTAATCAAATCAAATCAAATCAAATTGCAGAACTCCAAGCAATTGCCACACTTCCTTGAGTCCATTAGCACTTGCAGATCTGGGCATCTCTGATGTAGAGAAGAGGGGTTTTTTCTGTTTGAATGGGCTCTGAATCTCCCCAACCATCACTACCCTTTAGCTGTATATAAACTGTAGGTCTTATTTAGCGAAACTGCTTTGAAGCGATTGGTTGCTACGGCTGACACCAAAAATGCTAGCAGAGAGAATCACTGGGGACATAAATGGGATTTGTTGCAGGACTCGATATAGTGGAATTAATTCACATTATTATTCAGTTTGTGTTTAGGCTTCAAAAGGTAGTAGACCACCAAATGCTGCCATGTAGAGATGGAATGAGACAGCATATGCTGAACTGAATACAAAGCATAGGTGGCAGGAATATTTAGGTGTTCAGTTTCAGAAATAAAAGGTTTGTTCTGGTTACCAGAGAAAAAGTCAGTATACTTTTTTGGCATTTCTCAAACATAATGAGTTTGATCCTGTGTATTGGAGTGGAATTTCCACCTTAGCTCCTGGAGTGAAAGCAGAACTGAAAAAGGGAATAGGTTGCATCCTTTCTGAGCTAAAATATTGTGCAGAGAAGCAGCCATCACTATGGCCCTCTATTCCACAGTTGTCTGTAGTATGTGAAGTGGCATTTAACTATTTATGCTTCATCAATTTTCTCACTAGCTGCTGTTCATTTGTTCCATTCATAAACCTCGCAACTGCATGAATCTCCTGTACAGTACAGTGGTACCTCGGGTTACATATGCTTCAGGTTACATACACTTCAGGTTACACACTCCGCTAACCCAGAAAGGTTAAGAACTTTGCTTCAGGATGAGAACAGAAATTGTGCGGCAGCAGCAGGAGGCCCCATTAGCTAAAGTGGTGCTTCAGGTTAAGAACAGTTTCAGGTTAAGAATGGACCTCCGGAACGAATTAAGTTCTTAACCCGAGGTACCACTGTATACCCCCTTTCTATTGCTCCTTAAACTGAAGTTAGTTTTAAACATGAGCAAAACCATGTAAGTAAGATCCATGTTCTATATTGATTTCACTCTGCACTGTGCCAGCAGCCCTTTAGCAATAAAAATCATGATACTGTGAATTAGGGTTGTTTCCTCTGATGGGAATATAAATGCAAACTACAAACTTCTACATGTAGGTTCTATCCAGTTTCACTTTTGCAAGAATGTAGCAAGTTTATTCTTTTCCAAATCCCCCAAAAGAATGAGCAGTGAATTTATGGTTGTTTGTAGTGCCATAGCTTTTACAGAAACTGAAATTAGCAGCCAACTGTTTATAAAGAGACAGGGAAAATGTGAAGGATTAATGCTCTGATTCATTCATGTGGAGACAGAGGCTGCATCTTCATTTTATTCAATAGATGCCGCTGTGGAGTTTTAAACAATATGTTCACCAGTTTGTTATCCAGTCGTGCTCTTACAAGAGCCCCAAAACATCACAATGACTCTCTAACATTTTCGTATTTTAATAGTGCATTTGATCCCAAGTCACTCTGCTTGTGTAGCATATTATGGGCTGGGAAGTTCATCACTTGGTGATTAGCTATTTAGGACAGGTTTGTTGTTTTTTAAAGCACTTATTCACGAAGCATAAACTATATGATTCCTTGGCACAATATGTAATGCTGCCAACCAACTTAGATGGTTTTGAAGGAGGGTTAAAAGAACCTGAATTGGTTCTTCTCACACTAATGCCCAGGGGAAAAAAATCACAGCTCCCACATGAAAATAACCATTCCACAAATGCATCTGTAAAGGTATCTGAAAATGCTTTATTTTGGGTGGCAGAGGGGACAGGACATTAGTGGTTGAGGATTTGGATGTAAAAACTAGTGTGTGGTGTGTTTTTAAAGCCACTACTGGGGCCAATTAGTCACACAGGCAATATGACAACCCCCCTGTATGATTTATTTGCGTTTCTGATAATATTGGCCTTTGATCGTAATAAATAATTCATTCACAACCCCCTGATGGTTTGTGGTCTTGAGGGTTAATTTGATGAGAAGAGGACTCAACTGCAGTTGGGCTGATCTTTGGCAACTCTTTGGTTGAAGATGCTGAGAGGCAGGGTAGGAGAATCCAAAGGTTCAGGCAAAGAGGGATTCATTGGTATGATCACTGCAGATTGACTGGCATGCCAGTCTGTTCTTGGGACTGGAACATTTTATCAGAACTGGAACCAAGTTCAGTTGAAGGGTAGTTAATAAGGGATTGATTGAACCAGAGCTTTGTAGTGCAGTGGTTAGCGTATTAGACTAGGGAACCCCAGTTCAAAACCCTACTCGGCAATGAAGCGCAATGGGTAATAATGGACTATTCACTATATTTTAGCATGACCTACCTTAGAGGGTTGCTATAAAGGTAAAATTGGGTGGCCGTGGTGAGAGGACAGTGCCCACCATCTTGAGTTTCTTGAAGGAAGGCAGGATACAAATGTAATCAACAAATGTAATAAATCAATCAATCAATCAGGCATTGGACTGAAAAGCCAAGAGACCTAAATTCCAATGCTGTATTTTCTATCACTGCCTTGACTGTGTGTGTGTACCACATCCGCAAAGCAGGGGTAACATTTGAGTATTAAAAACTACCATTACTATAGCTGCTTTGGCAAAAGTTTGAATTCTTCAGTGCATGGGTAAGTCAGTAGAATGGGCCTTTTCTGTTGTACGTTCCTGTCTATGGCGCCACGTTCCTGTCTATGGCGCCAAGGAGGCCAGTCTGGTGCCAACTTTCTCATTGTTTCGACCTTAGCCAAATGCATTCTTGTTTTCTCAGGCATATGCGCTGCATCAGTGATTTGATGTTTTTAATATGTTTATGTATTTTTATTATTATAAATCACTCTGGAATTTTTTCCAGTGGACAGCAATATATAAACGTAATAAAGCTAAACCTTGGAATACTTTGGTAAATTCTTCAGACAGTGCCCTGTATGATGAACTCATAATAAAGAACAAGCAGAGCACCTTTTCTGGATTGCACTGCATTGTACAGATTTTGGTATTCCAGCACTTGGATCCCACACTGGCAATTTCTCCCTTCTCCAGTCATCTGTCCCAGTAATGAAGTCAATTCCTTGGAGTTTAAACTAAATCCTTCTGGTTTTGCAATGCGCATTTCTACTTAAGCAATAAACAGCTGTCATCTGCCATTCATTAATATTAATTATAAATGGTTACTAGCTCAGAGGATCCAAGTCCAGCAGCTGAGATTTTTCCGCAATCTGACCTTAAGAGTTTTGAAAGGGTTCTGCTAAGAGGGAGCCTTATACTCCAAGCCAACAGTAAGTAGAGGTTGAAGAACACAGCATGCAATCCATGTAATCAGTAGAAATGAAGGGGAGACAGAAAGAATAGGAGAGACCACCAGGAGATTTCTTTAAATGTTTAAACATCTTACTTAGCCTTTTGTATTGGCTTAAAAGCAAAAAAAGACATTGTCCATAATGATGGTGCGCCATCCATTTCATGTTCCTGCGAATGAAAGCTTGTGCAAATTAAAGGTTGTTCATCTCATGTTTCAGGAATGTAGCATTGTGTTTTATGCTGGAAGCCTGTTTTTGTTTTAAACCGAATCCCTCAGATGATGACAAATAGAAAGCAAACCATCTGAAGAAATTCTAAGCCAAGGCATTGATATACCTGATTATCTTTATACTGAGGCTACGTATGTCCATAGACAAAAACTTTTGGGCAGTGTGTGTTTGTGTGTGTATATAAAATTTATCCACTCACCTTATCTATCTTTTATTTACCCATACACCTGTACAGATGCATAGGTGAGTGCCAGCTAACCTAAGCAGATATGCCACAACAGAAAAAATAGATGAGTCTAAATAAAACAGTGGAAAAACAGATGAATCTAAATAAAACTTTATGAGCAGAGATGCGACTGCATTTCAGTACCAATGAAGGTTTCCTTCTCTTAAATGTTGTTCAGTTCTACAGATGCCTGCTTCTCAGTCCCAGTTGTTCTGCTAGTTTTCTAACCCTTCACAATGTATATTCCCCCCCAAAAAACTCCTGTTTTGAGTGATTATGAATATTCAGCCCAGCTCAGGTCTAAATCTGCCTTGAGACAAATGTGTATTGCATATAACTGAATGCACATTTCTTAGTCAGATCCTGCGGGGACACACATGCACACTCCAGTCTGTCTATTGAGAGAAACTACATTATCTATCATTACATACTTCTAGTAGAAGTATGTCATTTCTCCCAAAGCTGATTATTCTACTGCTTTTCTTGGACTGTGGTTATGTAGCCATCTTAGGCACATGTGAACTAGTACCTGTTTCGTTACTGGTAATAAAAAATATTCTCTGTCCACTCTCCCACCAGACCACCTGCTTGAAAAAAAACTGTTTTCAAAAGGATACTTTTATTTTTGAAATATATTTTTGTGCATCTGTAAAAGCAGTGTCCCTCACCCCTTATACAGTAGTCCAGCATAGGCGCAAGAACATAAAACTCACGTTTTTAAAGAAATGCACCTAAAATGAAGAGTTACTTCCATTTTAATTCAGTCCGAGACGATACACAAACCCAAACCCAAACTGCTATTTACTTCAATCCTGGATGTCTTTCCACCGCCCCCTCTAATATGTGCTTTAGTTTAGCTGCACGTAGTACCACAATAGCTTGATAAATGTGGTTTGTATTAGGCAAGAGTCTAGACTAGATGAAGATTTACCAGTCCCTTTTGGGCCTGATGTCAGTCCATTTCTCAAACAGTAACCATTTTTCTAATGCCTACGCTGACTTGGACACTTTCTAGACCACTTCCTAATAAGTGGAACAGCCTGTGCCTTTCAGGCCTTCTCTTTGTAAAAACGTTGGTAAAGGTGATGCTTGGAATAGTTTGTCTGAGGGAAAGAGATGCCAGTGATTTTGTTCCACTTTGAAATCGGCCCATAAAGACTCCGGCTAGTAATAGTAAGTAAATACTACTGAATTCTGTGGTTAGCAGCGTCGTAACAGCGTTGCTATACAAGGAAATATTCCATGGAAAAATAATTAAACAGTACTAAATTTTGCTTTCATTACATTTAAAAATGTTTCCTCCTCTGCTGCTGGCATTTCCAAAATGTTTTGCATACTTTGGCCGTGTTTTATTGGAGGTACTTATAAATTATTTCTCCTTCTCTTCGTTGCCCTTCCTTTCCCCTCCACTCACGATATTTTCAACATTCAAAGGCTAAAATGCCAGATCCAAGAAGAGAAGGAGCCAGGAGCAACTCCTCCACCCAGTCCGTCCAGTTCCTGGCCTTTCCACTATGTGTCAGTATTCTCTAGAAAAACAGCCGTCATTCGAGGAGCGCAGGGGAAAGTAAGCTGCTTGTTTCTGTTGCAGCAGCAGGGCGAACTGCTTGTTTAGAATAGTCCTGGGAAAGATGCCAGGCGAAGGAAAACTGGGTGCATGGAAGGGTCTGGTGGAGCAGACTGGTTCTTGGTGCAAACATGATGTGCGAATGTATGGTTTTGTTTTGCCTCAAGTGACTAAAACCCACACAGTCTCCTCTATGTGACACTAAACTGGCTTAAAGCCAAGTTGCCTGGCATGCTCAACATGACGTTGGATCATCAACAGAGCTTCCCACCCCCCAAAAAAGAAAATCTTATTCCTCACTCATTTGTTCTAAAAGTAGATAAAACATAATTAATAGTTAGTATATTGTTCTTCCATATTCCTCCATATCTATAACCATTTCTTCATATTCTTTCTGAAGGAAAGATACCAACAGTGGACACAGAAACTAATGGAGTATGCAGAAATGGCAAAAGTTACTGGAGGAATAAGAAATCAAGTGTGTGTGTAAGAGAGAGAGAGAGAATAAAAGAATAAGTTAAAACAATTTGGAGTATGCAGGAAAGGACGAAAATAAATGTAAAGAACTGCAAAAAGGGGAAAGGGGGTCAAAACTGAAAATGTTAAAATTTGGCAAAATAATTGTTGTAATGTATATAAATGAAAATTACAAATAATTTTTTAAAAAATAAGATAAAATGCTGCAAACAAGCAGTGAACTTCTGTGTAAACGGACACAAAGGCATACTTTTAAGTTGTTTTAAACTGTTTTCAGTATTGAGTAATATTGTGTTTTTAATATCCATGTTGTGTTTTAATTGTTGTGACCTACCCTGGGACCTTTGGGTGAATGGGGGGGGGTAATAATAATAGGAAGTTTGGATAAGCCCTTTGCCAGACACATGAGTGTCAGAAGGTGGTACTATTTACCATTTAAGTTTCACGCCTTGAACTGTGAATTTCTAGATGAGTATCCTGAATCAGTCAACTAGTTTTTTACTACTAAAAGGTGGTTAAAATACTTATTTATGAAATCTAATGCATTCATCAACTCCTGAAGGGAAAAAAATGTGCATTATGAGAATCCTGAAATGTGGCAGTCAGTCAAACATAAGAGTAAAATAAAATAAAATATATGAAACCCTTGAAAGTTGTCTTATGCAGTCCCTTCTTATTTTTTCTCTGCCTTGAATGCTGTCTGCAGTATTACACATTTGGGGTTTCTTGGTTTGCAAGGCTCTATTTCCACATTACTGGAGTGGCACTGAGGTCCCAAGCCATGTCAGAAGCCGCTTGAGTGAAGCATTTCCCATATGGTTTGGTATAAATTTAAACCACATAAATAGAACCACCTGAAAATGAGCAGTTCCACTAACAGGAATGTACTAACCCACAAGACAGCTACTTCCCATACCATTCACACAACTTGAGGATTAGGTCTATCTCCAAATATCAAGCTTATCAGCTTCACTATAAAAGTATTGCAAAGGTGAGGTGGGGGGAGGTTAACATACCCATCAATTAGAGTTTGATGTGATAATTATGTAAATTAGCAATTAAAAACATCTTAAATTAACTACAGTGATCCAGCTCATTACATTTTGCCTACGTGGCCCTCAGCATTTAATAAGCTGCCAGCCACTGATGAAGGAAGGGCAGTATTTAGAATGTTGAAATCAGAGCTCTGAATAATAAAAAGTTCATAAAAATGTACATTGATTAATTTATTTTGCTTAGCAGTTTGGGGGAAAGTAGCTATTATATGGTCAATTCTTTATTCTTTATTTTTTTAAAAAATGTTTTCTCTGGTTGCAGAGTACAAGAGTGTTCAACATACGCTTTAAAGTTTCAAAATGATTTATAATCTGGTTAATAAAGTTGTTTACTTGCATTAAGTCCAACACATTTTCAGCACAAGCTTCAGAGGAGGGGGGAAGGCTGCCAAGTGACCCCTCTGCTACATCTTTGCCTGTTTGAAGAGTTAAGAAGCAGAGAGAACAGCTGGGGGAGAAAGAGGTGAGCTTTCTGCTAATGCAATGAGCAACCAAGCACCACTCTGAGACCCGGGGGAGATTGACTTTTGTCCATATATGGATCAGATGCAGAATGTGTGATAGAACTGGTACAGAAATGCTAGAAAGGAGATATTCGGCTCTTTCTTCAACTTGGGCTCCCGTATTCATCCTCCTTGTTCATATGACACAGTAAGCCAAACTATGGCTTACCAAAACGATGCGAATGTGTGGGCTCCTGAAGAGAAGCTTGCAGCCACGTTGCTCCTCCTGCCCATTCCTCTTGCTGGCCTGCTATGCTAAAGTAAGCCATGGCTTGGCTTAGCATGTAGTCTGTGGTTAAGCTCTGACCTCACTAACCATGAGCAGTAGTCAAGGTTTGTTCTTGGCTACAGTTTGTGGTTAGTGAGGATAAAGCTTAACCATGAGTCCCAGTTTGGACATGCTAAACCAAGTCTTGGCTTAGCCCAATAAACCACAACAGTCAAAAGGAGAAAAGCAGCTGTAAACTCCTCTCTTGGAGCCCATGCATTCTTACTAAGCCATGGTTTGGTTTATCGTGTTGTGCAAACTAGCCTACTACACCCCACAAAAACCCTGTTGCAGCGCACTGCAAATCCCAATGCACTGTTTGTGTATAGGTAACTCAAGTGTGTTACAGATTTTCTCAGGCATTTTTCATTTAGTATACTGCTAGCTGGGGAAGGAACCATGGTTCAGCAACAGAGAGCATCTGCTTTGAATGAAGAAGGTTCCAGGTTCAATCCTTGGCATCTTAGGTAGCAAGCAGTGGCAGCTGGTGAGGTGGCTTTGCTATGCCTGCAGCCGCTGCCTGACAATCAAGAGAGGAATGGAATTCCCACTTGTACCGTAAGAGATGGGAGGTGGTAGTGGAGGCAGAAGCAGCCTGGATCTGCACTGGGATATCATATCAGCAACCATGTGCTCGGATGGCTTTGGCTATGGCCTCTTCCCTCTTCACTTCCACAACCTCCCAGTGCTGCGATGCGCCTTATACACAAAGATTTATATCCCGTCTCTTTTACCAGTCAGTCATAACAAAGCATGGAAATGAATCCCATGGTACTCCTTGATCGCCACAGAATGGTTACTGGTGAATCACCTCATTGGCCACCAATGGTAAATAAAAAGGATGTGGAAAGTACTGTCTCCTTGAGTGAACAAACTAATGTACTGACTCTGTTGGCACCAATAAAAAGATTCCCTTCTGATGCAAATAGAAGCTGTGGAAGATTTGGTGGGGGTGAACATGGCAAGGAAGAAAAGAGTTAAACTTCTTCCACAACCTCTACAGTTCTGCTTCTGCTAGAACCCTCTGTGACTGCTATTTACTGTTTTTTAGGTGTGCATCTTAACCCAGTTAAGATTGTGCCCTCCAGATGTTTCCGGACTCTGTCTCCTATCAGATCCAGCCAACATGGCTAATGGGCAAGGATGATGGGAGCTGTAGTCCAACAACATCTTGAGGGGGCACCACATTCACTATCCCTGCCTTAACCACATTCACATAATTAACTTCATGTCTAGCTTGTCCCTAAGGCAGCTGCTTATGCTAATGGAGAAGGATGGTAAGGATTATCTCTCATGCTTCCCCTCTGTTGGTTGTATTTAAGTCATCATAGCTGAAGCCAATCTGTCACAACACGATTATAACTGGGAGCCTGCAACTGAGCTCTCAGGAGTACTCAAAATGAAGCAGAAATGTGCTACCTTAGGAGGGGGGGAAATTGCTGCAAGGAAGAAAGGGGGGGAATAAAAGAGGATTTGCTGGCAGAAAAAAACCATTAAAAATAAACAGCCAAACCCTTCACAGGATTTTCATAATTATAGTAGTAGCTTGGAGTCACAGAATCCAAGTTATGATGACCCAGCAGCGTATGCAAAATGTCAACACTGAGATACGGTAATTAGCTTCATGTTAATTCTGAAGCCTCAGCAGCCTGGGGAATAACCACAAAGAAAGGGCATTAACCGTAACCACATTGGTGTCATTCACATGCTGTTGCTAGAGGATCGTGCTGGCGTGATACGCCTCAGCTGCAAGAGTCTCAGCATCTGCTCCAAGTTCCTCAAGGCAGCATGTTTTTTGATGCGGGGACAGGGAAAGAAGTAGACTGGGAATGAAATGCTTCGCCTTCCACCATACACATGTTTCAAATTTTGAATACTAGAGGCAGGTTATCCTCCACTGCAGGTTACAATTTTGTTACTACCCCATAGGAATGGGAAGAGGCTTTGTAGCTCTGAGCTGCACCTAACTTTTTGCCATCGAAGACTCCTGCTGCACTATGCACTGTACACTCCTGACACACTAGAATAATCCAGGGCAATGCTGCGTTCTGTCCACACACCCTTTTCCAATACAGGGAATACTGGGCTAGAGCAAAACAGTGGCAGAGAATATTGCCAAAAATATTTTGTGCTAGTAGTAAATAAAGTACATAAAGACAGGACCACAGCATACATTTGAAGCACATCCAACATACATTTAAAGCTCATTATTTTCTACAAAGAATTCTGGGAACTGTAGTTTATTAAGGGTCCTGGGAATTGTGGGTCTATGAGGGGTAAACTGCAGTTCCCAGGATTTGGGGGTGGGGGGGTGTCTTGTGCTTTTAATATATGTTGAATGCACTTCAAGTGCATGATGTGGATCTTCCCTAAATGCCAAATGAAGATGTTATAATTAACATGCTGAAATCATACTGCCAAATGAAAGTGTATCTTAGTTATATGAACTGAGTTGTGTTGACGAAAGGTTTTGCACAATCCCTTTTATGTTTTAAAATCTTGGACAGCTGTGGGTCATATCCAGTTCTGGCTATTCACTCACTCAACGTATGCCACTTTGGGTTGAAACAACCATATCCCTACTGAGATCAGTAGTCCATCTAATTTGGTATTGTCTCCTCTGTCTGGCAGCAGCTGTCTGAGGGTTCAGCCAAGGAGACTTTCCCAAACACTTCTGGAGTTGCTGGGGACTAACATGGTCTCTTTTGCATGCAAAACTATACAGTATTTGAAGGAGAACAGCTTAGGTTGCCAGAAGGGAAGGGCAGAGAAAGGAGCAGCAGGCATAGTTGCTTGAGATCCTTCAGTGCAGAGAGAGAGATGGACCCTTGTTTGCTTAGTAAGAGGTGCCCAATAAAGGCTGCCGATATTTACAAAAGAGAGAAACACACTGTCATATAATCCAGAACTGAAGGCTGATCCTGAGAATAGGCTTCAGAACATTCTGTAAGTATAGAAATGCCTATACTGCCCTTCCAAAGAAATTTCCAAGACAGATTACATTAAAAGAAGAAAAATCAAATTAAAATACAGGTACAGGCAGCGACCATTTTGCTCGCGCTCAATTGACGCGCTGCTGCTGATGCATGGGTCTTTTGGGACTTGGAAGAGGGCAGAACAGGGGCAGAACAAGGTGGAACACAATGGGATGGGCTTATGCATGCTCTGCCAATGTGTGTGGGGCCCAAGCACATAGCAAAATGGTTGCTGCCAGATAAAGGCAATCCGCAGGGCTAAAATGATTTAGAAGTCATGGTGGCTGAAGATTGCCCTTTCCTGGTGCCAAAAGGACAACAAAGTAGGCAACAGGCATACTTTCCAACACACATCGTTGTGTTGCCATCACTGAGAAGGTCCTCTTCCAGATACCAACCCACCTCACCTCACAGGGTGGCACCCACAGAAGGCCCTTATTTACCTGGTAAACTGTCAGAGGGCACTTTGAGACTGACTGGGGGTAGAATCCTGCTGAAATTCCTTCTTCTAACTTAATCTATATAAGGTGCATGAATGTGCTCCTCTTTTGCCACTGGCCACTGTAGTTATAATGTCTTCATTACCATGCTGGAATCTGATAGGAAACTACAAGAGGAAGATGCCTAGGTTCTGATGAGGGCTCTCTTCTTGAACCTGGGGCAACCTCTTGCAATGTTTCTAGTGAGTGGTTCCCAAAACGCCTATGTGAGTCCTCAGCTGTTGAATCACAGCTTTAAAAAAAAGCAACCTTAGCTTGTTCCCCTTGATTATACTAATAATAAAACAATGTAAAATAATACTAAAAGCCAAAAATACCCTCTGTAAAAGAGAAGGCATTTCTTATCTACAAAAGATATCCAAACCTGCAGGCATAACATACCGTATTTTTCCATGTATAACATGCCCTCATGTATAAGACGACCCCTATTTTGGGGGAATCCAATTTAAGAAAATGGGGGGGGATGGCCCAGAGTTGTTGAGCTTTTTTTGGGGGGGTGCCAAAAATCACTCACCAGACTGACAAATGCTGCCAATTGCATGCATCACAGAAGCCATAAACCAGCAGCTGGCAAGTGCATGCCCAACTGACGCAGTGGCAGCCAATCCACAGCAGCCATTGCCGCAGCCACCAATCACCAACCCTATCGCTGCTGACAAGCTCCTGCTCGCGGCTGTAACTAATCGCCCGTCCCCCCTCAGCACTATCCACGTATAAGATGACCCCTGATTTTGAACATTATTTTAGAGTAAAAAAAACACATCGTCTTACACACAGAAAAGTGCGGTAATCATATTGGTAGGTAGGAATGAAAGAGCTTCCAGAATAATATTGTAGCATGCTCACAGCAAACATACTTAAAAACTATATAACAGCAATTTTCAGACACATTTTTGAATGTTTCTGAAACTCACTATAAATTCATGAATTCAAATCATACCGCCAACATAAATTTTGGTTGGTAAAAGACTGTTCAATGGTAACACCAAAATACTTCGATGGAAGCCAAAGTCAGTGGGATTTGATTGCTTTGGATTATTATCAGAAGTACTCTGGTTTAACTTTTTTGCATATGTATGTCAGCCTGTAAAATATTTTGTACCCTCTTTCATATTCAGCCTAACCTATGCCTAGTTAGGATATTTATTCAGAAGTTTGTCTGACATCCGAGCAAGGCATCTTATTCCAGGGCACATGTGCACAGAATTGAAACCTCTTTCTCTTTTAATAAACTGCATTATGCTGCTTCTGTTGTTTTTCTCTGGAGCAGTTTCACAAAATGTTAATTGAATCTTTGCTCATAAACAAAGAAAAGTGAACAGAGATGAACTCTGCAACAACGTGTCCCACAGGAACGCTAAATGAGCAGCCCACTTTTCTTTGCAACTCATTGCATTTCACTGATGTCCGAATCTGTGTGGTATGAGAGTGGGCGTAAATAAGAGGAATTTAATTGCTTAATTCTTTGAGCCTGCTGGTATTGTGTTACATTGTCTTCATCTAAAACCACAGCAACACTAACACTGAGGAATGGCTTTGTGAATTTTAGCTAAACAGTGTTCTAGGAAATCTACTGAAAGCCCAACAGGACGTCCGACTGGACTCTGTATATACAAGAGTCAACTGCATATTTATCAGATCCGGTCTACAAATATGTTGGATGCACTACATGGACAGATATACTAATTAGGGATGGATGAACTGATCTGAAAAAATAAATAAAACTATTAGATGTGGCCAAAATTTTGGCCTTCCTCTCTTCAAAACCAAATGAAATCTTTATATGAATTCAAATGTTTGACATAACTTAAGGCATAAAAAAAAAAAAAATCCCTTCCCAGGCCCTCCAAGTGTCCCTATTTTCCAGGGACGTCCCTGATTCAGAGAAGCCATCCCGGTTTGTCCCACTTTTCCTTAGGACATCCCTATTTTCATTGGAGAAATGTTGGACGGTATGGAGTTATCTGACCCCTGAGCCATCTGAAGGCAATCCTGTATCGGGAAGGGTTTTTTAAAAATGTTTAATGTTTTATTATGCTTTTATATATGTTAGAAGCTGCCCAGAGTGGCTGGGGAAACCAGTAAGATGTGTGGGGTATAAATAGTAAAATTATAATTATGGAATGGGATGTCCCTATTTTCACCAGAGAGATGTTGGAGGGTATGCCTTCCATCATTAGATCACTCAAATAAGTGGGTTTGCAAACTGTGTCCCCAGGATTACTTGGAAATATATCTGTAGTTCCTCAGTGGGAAAGGCAAGAATAGTAGGCAAGCTTTCATGAAAGACATCTTGTTCACCTTTGAAGATTTTCCACTTTGGCTGGGTGTGTTCCAGACTTTGCTCCCAGATTCAGTTCACATAAGGTTAAGGATGAGTCCTAGCAGGGCTGTCCAGTACAATGCATGTGGCCTAAAATATGATCCAGAACTATCTGCAATGTATAAAGAACCCTTGGCAGACAAGTAAATGTGAAAAGTTTCCCAAAGATATTTCAAAAGTCTGTGGCTTTGAATAAAGCCTCTTCCAATTAAAAGTGTTCCAACTGAATCTCTGTGGGCTACATATGGGCAAAAGATGAGCCATATGTAGGAAGCAGGTGCATGTTGACACCTCGATCCAGCTATATATCTATAACCACTCATGGCCAATGGAAGAGGACAATAGTCTCATTTGCACTAGGCTGCCGCTTTTTGCCCATCCTTTCACACCATCTCTGAACTATCCTGTAGTGCTGGATTCTATAGCCGTTAATGTCAAGTGAAATATTTCACTACAGCTTATTGTATTTTAGAAGTTTATCATCTCATATTCTCTTAAAGTTCCCCAATAGTACCTAACGAAAAGGTATTGATAATTGGACGTGTAGGCATATCCCATAAAATAGATTCCTGGCTCATTCAGGTGAACAGACACATCATAAAATGTGTGAATACATAACACTGGTTTCTTGCAAACAACTTTGAAATTTACATGCTAGGCAGTAGAAACCAAGGCCATTTGCAAAAAGTGAAAATTGCTAATGTGCATTTATTTTTAGAAGTGAAAAATCAATGGAAAGTTAATGGAGTCGTTAAATAGCAAATACTTCCTTAGCGTATCTAGAATATCTCTGGAAATCACATTAATATAATGAGCTGTTGGGATCCCTTTAGAATTGCGCATATCAAATCAGTTTGCAGCATGCAAGTCACTAAGTGGGGCAGGAAGGATAAAGCAATGAAAAAGAACTAAAAGGTACTGTGGTTTAGTAGAAAAGAGATCAGACGAACAGGAAGGCATATAAAACTTTTACAGGGTGTGGTCCACAAATCAACTGTGCTGTATAGCACTGCAGTACACAACACTGTGTTCTGCTTATTACTCTTCCTTTTCTCCCTTATTATAACCAGGCACAATAAGGATCCAGATACCACATGGCCCAGCATTCATAAAACAGCCTTCGACACTAACTGTGAGTGGTGGAAGCTGTTGCAATGACCCTTGGCAGGCCTGGCCATCTTCTGATCCACAACTGCTCTGTTATATCATAGCTGTGGGCTGGGTTGTGTCCCCACTCTGACTTAAACTTTTGAGTTTTCTGAGACCTGGCTCGCCGCTAACAGTCTTCTACGTTAATACATATTGACACCAGAGAGGCACCTTCACTGTATTCTTTTGGGTGCCTGTTAAAGACATTTTGTTTAGGCAAACCTCCCCATATACTGTATGTAGAATGTTGATGTGTGTTTTAACATATTTTATCACTGATTTTGATTTTTTTAAAAAATGTTTTAAATAGTTGCTTTTAACCATCTTTACCAATAATTTTATTGTTTTATTCTTTTTGTAAACTGCTTTAAGTTTTTTTAAAACAATCAAGAGGTGTGTAAATTTTATGAAATAAATAAATGCAAAACAACACAAGACAGAATTAAAAAAATTACTAAGACAAAAAACCCCACCTTTTTAAAAACACATCACACACAAAGGGATATTTTCATGAAAGCACCACTCTAAAGAAAAAAAGAGTTTCACCAAACGACTATATAGGACATGCAGCAGTCAATTCAATTGGCTATAGTTAGCAACATCACAGTTTTCTACATACAACCTAGGAAAGTAGGGGTAGCAACCAAAACAGGTGGATACATGGGAAGGACAGGAGACGACCATGCTTACACCAAATCCCATATTTCTTCAGACCTCAAATATGTTTTCAACAATGGCGAAACTTTAGGCGATCACAGAGTTGGGATAACAACAATTCCATCTATAAAACTTATTTCAGGGTTATACCTACTGCCCACTGCCCCATCCACATCATTACAACAGAATATAGGATATGGCATAACTATGCACTCAATCACAACCCATAAGACTTGTCTATAAACTCCCCAACAAAGGCCATAACTCAGATGACAAAGCATTTGGCATGGGGCTATATCTCTCTGGCCTCACATATCATGAACACTTAGAGCACACAAAGAAGAATTCTGGCAATGGAATCCATAGAGAAAGGGAACTTTACATACAAAGGGAGCACTTGGCACAAACAGCTAGACCTCTCATGACACACAAATAGATGGCTGCCACTACTATTTGGCAAGGGGAAAGTGATAAATGATTAGGCCTGCTATCTAGTGTGGCTAGTCTACCAGGCAAAATGGCAGGGGAGGGTTGATCACAATGGTTGCCAAAAGGGTTGGTTGGTCTATACATGAATTAGGCTACCGTCTCACATAGCACACCTTGATTAGCACAGAAACGACTCTCTCTCTGGGACACTGTGTGTCCCAGAACTCTCTTCCAGGAGGCGCTCCTCTCCCAGATTAAACCAGGAACCTCCTGCATGTAACATCTGAGCTGTTCCACAGAGCTATGCCTCCTTCTGCAGCCATGGTCATCCTGGTTTATGTATTGGTCATACTGCAGCTGAGACATTTCTCCATGAATGTCATATTACGTATCTGCCTTCAGTTGACTGCTGTGGCTGAAGAAGTTGGGTGCTTCTTTGTGGAGTTTGTGGTGTGACCCAAAGTCCTGGCAGCTTCCTATTGTTTGTCTCTGACATGATTGCTGCTGGCTAGAAATGCCAAAGCTGAGTGGGACTTCTTGGCATTCCCTATGGTGGGCCTTGAAATCCAACCTGTTTGCATGCCCCATGCCCTATGCACTGAGTTTTGGGGAAGCTATCCCACAGGGGGTATGTTTGTGGCTTTCTTTGCTGCACGCCCCAGTTTTCTGCCTGGCAAAAAGCTCCTTTCTTCCCACTTTCCACAGAAAGACTTCTGAACTCTTTCGGCAGGCCTCCATCCAAAACATCTACTGTATAGGGAGACTGTGTCCTATACGACTTTGTTTCCTTTGTGGTATGCAGTCGAAAAGCTTCAAATGTGGGTGGTGTGACTCAAACCCCTTCCTGCGGGGCTTTTATGGTCCTGCTGTTGACTCAGCAGTGAGAGCTTGTGGAGTGCAGGAGTGGGGATGTTGCTGTGGCATCATGGAGGGGGGAGGCTGGCAAGCTTTCCCTGTGACTGAATGCATTGTTTCCATCTACAGTATATCTGGCCATCATGAAGGCAATGCCATAATGTTGTCACATTCACTCCATGACACTGCCGCAACATCCCTGCACCAGTCAATATGGGGGGGGGGGTTGTAAGCAGTGCTCCTATGCACATAGTGGTTGTCACTGTTGTTCCATTCTGTTCTTTGGGGACTTGTGTGTTTTCTTCCTCCTGTTCTGGATCAGGAAAGGATATGGCAGGCACTGTCCTGCTGCTGCAGCGGCTTATATCCTCCCTGCACCCCACGCCATCCGGCATAATTGGACCATACTTGGAGTAATGGCTTGCTTGGTTAGTCATCGTATTCAGCTACTCACAACTTGTAAACACTGTAGCTAATATTGCATTCAGAATATCTAGCTATTCTCTAGTCTTCCTCTGCCAGACTGTTTAAACAGTGACTTAACTCCAAGTGTCACAACTGAGGAATGGCATAATGGCATAAATGACTCTTACAGCTTCCGGATAATACCTTGTTTAAACAAACCTTGTTTAAAGGAATGAAAATCATGAGTCAACATTCCCAACATGCCAAGTTTTAGGATTTTCTAAAACCAAAGTACTATTAAGCCCCAACAAAAATTCTGACGAAATCACGCCTTTATAAGGAATTGGTATTCATCAGTTCCAAAATATGAAAGAATAATGATCGCAAGTACCTGTTTGTCTTGTCTGGCATCTCGTTTTCGGTACAATACATTTTTTTGTCTCAGTTGTATGTGGGCATGGTTTACCCTTTGTAGTAGGAAGTTGTAAGATTTCTCTTTTCCTCGTTTCATTCCCCCTTTTGAAACCGCACATTTTCCCTCTCTTCATGCATGGACTCCATGGGCTCCATTCACTAACTTTACAATGCACTGCAACAAAAATATGACATAAATTAAGTTTGGCCTCTATAAATTTAAAGTGGAGACGCTATATGTAGTTTTTTGTTACACACACACACACACACACACACATCTTTAATAAAAAAAATAATTTAAAGAAAGCAAGTAAGTATGGCCAAATAGCCCCAAATTTATGCAGAACTTACACAATATATTCTTTTCACACCTTGCACTTCACATATTTAATCTACATGTGCGTCAGAGGTCTAGAGAAAATTAATCTTTATGATCTTGAATGTATGTTTTCTCAAAGGTTTGTTTCATATGAGGTGCTTGCTCAAATCAGAGTGTAAAAGCTAAGGGCAATTTCATGGAGTAGCACTGCCAACTTTTTCACTTTCGTCTGTTTCTGTGCCATTAGCAGCATTCTGATCCACAAACATTAGTAAGTGGTAATGTTTGTCTCCATTCTGCAGAAAGCTTAACATAAGGATAGCCCTGCTAGATCAGGCCAAAGGCCCATCCGCCCCAGTATGCTATTCTCATAGTGGCCATCCAGAAGCCCATGAGAAACCCACAAGCAGATCCTGAGTGTGACAGCTCTCTCCCCACCTGTGATTCTCAGCAACTAGTATTCAGAGGCTTGCACAGTGGAGGTAGAACATAGGCATTGTGGGTAGTAGCCATTGTGACTAGTAGTTCATTGGTTGATGCAAGATCATCTGTTTGGGCCAGTTGGAAACCATCACCTAGCATGACACTGGGTTTTCAGTGCTGTTAAGTGAGACAACTTGAACAGCTTAGCAAATAGTTAGCTGCCAAACAAGTATTGTATCATTCAAGTATTTCAGATAAATGTAAGATGCAAGATTCAGCAACAGAGGTCCTACTACTAATGGTAACCTTATAGTGATGGCTTTAGCACATCAGTGTGATTAGACATAACTTGATATGTTCTGTACTCTTTGAGACATATTAACATGGGCTTTCAGAGGTGTGATTCTGTTAATTTGGTGAGAGTCACACCTGCTCGCAGCAGAAAGCTTGAATCAATATGCTAAGCATGTAATCTAGTAAACACAACTCCTAAGAAGAAAATGCTTGAACTAAACGAATAGGCTTTTCTTGGAAAGTAGCACTGGCTGAATTGATTCCTATGTACAGATTTAGGCATTGGTCAAATAAACATGGTTCTTGCAGAATGAGGCCATTGAATGGATCCAAGTTGTGACCAGTCATCTCTGACTAAACACTTGCAATGCCTTATAGAGGATGTAGACATAAGTTCATGTGTCAAAATATAAATGCACACATAAAAAATAGATACACTTGAACTGTATGGAAGCACCGGGAGCATCCAGAGCAAAGGGGAAGAGAATGAACAGCAACCCTGTCTCTGTTGCTGCTTTTAAGAACTGCACCAGGAAATAATACACAGTGGGGCATGTGAGACAGATCATCTACTACAGGGTCCAAGAAATCTGATTGCCACTTCCTGCACTTGGCACTTTTGAGGAACTGGTTGCTGGTTGTAATAATAAACTGCGCCAGAAAGTTTTGTCATACCTGACTCTGGTTTATGTATTTTAACACAGGGGTGAGGAACATGTAGCACCCTCCCCCAGATGTTGCTCATTTCCCATAATGCCAGACCACTGGCCATGCTGGCTGAGGCTGAAGGAAGTTGGGAGTTCAACAACATTCGTATTGAATTGTTATAAGTGGGTGTGATCTTCTATATTCTGCTTTCTTTCCAGCTTGTAAACCACATTGTGTATAGAAAGGTGGTATGCAAATCAAAAGTGAAATGAAATTAAAGCATCTGATGGGCCACTGGTTCCCCCCCCCCACAAATATACATATACATCATATACATATACATATGCATATACATATTATATAGTGAGTTTAAAATGGCACAACTGTTAGAATTGACAAAAAAATGAATTATTTATTTGGGTTGTGGTATTATGTTTTGAAATGAATTGGTATTTTAGGATTTAATTCAAATGATGCAGCCCAGCTGCTCATGGTGGCAGTAGCAGAAAATCTAGGGAGGGGGCAGGACAACCAGGCTTCACCCCATTGTGAGTTCCAAGCTGGCACAGTGATCTTGATGAAGTCTGATGTTGGTGATCAATGTCTGTAAGACTGGCTTGGGATCCAGTGCATCCCATCCCACCATGCTTTTGAAACACTCAGTTTACTGTATTTCAACTAGGATCCGCTAGCAGGAATACTACCATACACCAGCAGGCCTCCACCTTACTCATACAACCACAGAAAAAGTTATGACAACCATCATAACAAGTAAGTCCACAGAACACTCCCCCCCAAAAATCTTTCAAATGTCTACAAAGGTGGGAAACCCCTTTTCTGAAGTACAAACATTTTATTTGTGAATATTTCCCCGTTGCAAGATTTAAACTGCATGTCTAAGCAAAAACCAACAGAGGCTATATTCCACAAATGGAAATGATGTACTGGGTACAGCTTTTTGGGACAGACAGCTTACTCACCAATATTGTTGCACTCCATAGTGTGATTGTTGGTTTCCAGCCAGTCAGGGCAGTTTCCAAGGCACTTTCCAAGGTGTAAGTAAAACCCATTTCTACACTTTGTGCAGAAATTTCTATTGAAGCAGGTTTCACAGTCAGCTTTACATTCTGAAGGGCGAGAAATAAGCAATTACTGCCATGTATACCATGATCTACTTAAGTTAGTGTGGTGCCATATACAAGACAGAGTTTGTATCCATTAGGGATCAGCAACTGAAGATGCTTGAGTCAACCCCATTGCAAGAAGAATCTGGCTGGAAGGACTGACAGTTATAGCTCTAGGCTGGCCCATGATCTTTCTGCTTCTCAATGTGGCTAGCCTATAAAGCTTGGTGCATACAGACAGAATCATTTTGAGTGGTTAAGCCTCTGTGGAAGCACACTCAACATACTATGTCCCATTGTATAATTTTCTATCCAGGATCAAGGTTCAAGGAAACAGGTCCTGCCACTTTGCAATATCACAGAACCCATTACCCACATACTACCATAGTAGTTTTACATCTCTTTTAAAATGAGGCTTGTCTTAGATAAAAAACTTTCATCATTCCTACCATAATCATTAATAACAACACAACAAACATTTAAATATTATGCTACTTTATTTTATTTTTTAAATAGCAAGACAACCAGCCAACATATTGTACCCTAGGAGAGACCAATATTTAGCATTTTATTTTCACTGTGCATAGCCACTGCTTTCTCTCCCTTAGACAAACTCAAATAAACTGGATTCCTGGGCTGTACCAGTTTCTTCTAACATTGAGGGTTATGCTTAGCTACATTACTAACTTTAAGTTAAAAGGAGATCAGGAGAGGTGAAGGACTGGAGCTCCCTGGTGGAGACTGGGAATTTGGCTGGCCATCACTCTACTCTGAAGTAAATGGATGGTAAGTCATTGAGAGCCCCACTGCCCCCCCCCCCCAGGTTTGACAGAGAAGCAGGTGGTGTCAAGAAGAGAGCAACACAACAGAGGAGCCCATTGTCAGTGGACTATCTGATGGGGTAGCGTTGGAATAGTGGCTCATATCCATGACAAGAGTTCACAAGACAGCATAAAAAGAGTAGCTGCAACTTTTCCTTCAACTTACTTTTACACTCATTTCTTTCTGGGTACCGTTGTCCATAATATCCATTGGGGCAGGATGAAAAACACATCCCTATCTCTCTAATTTGACTCCTCATCAGGAAAAAAAAGAGCCGAGGTTTACATGTTAAGCATCCATTGAACTGGGAACATGTTGCACATCCTTGGCAGTCTTGGCTCATATCGAGATTCACTAAGAAGAAAAGTAACACAAACAAACAAAGGGGAGTTAGCTAGATAACATCTCCGTAATCCATAAATCTTCTGCTGAAACCTCATTAGGGTTTTTGGGGTTTTTTTGCAGCTTGGAACCCCACATTTCACAAGGGGCATTATTTCTTTACTATGATTAATAGTATCACTCTCGTGCAAAATAAAGCTCTGCAATCCTTATGAAAAGAGAGAAAAACAACAAAATATACCAGCAGCCTGAACATATATATGTTTACTTGGAATAATATGTTGTGCGCAATGAGGCTTACTTTCAAGGAAGTGTCTGTAGGATTGCAACCTCAAGAACATGTGCATGTTATTCAAAAGTCTTACTAAATTATATTCCTTCCAATAAGTTAACTAGACCTTACTCCCAAGTAAGTAGATTGAGGACTGGATCATTCTGTGATATTATGGCAAGTGGACAAAGCTGTATTGTAACTTTTGAATAAATATTTAAATTTTAAAAAGAGAGACTAATACAGCCTTAATCTTTATCCACTGATCCAGTAAGTTTGCCCCCCAAAAAAACTGTGCTCTAGGGAATTCTGTGTTTTGCAAAACCTTACTACTGAGAGGAACAATAATAGTAGATTATTATACTACTATTAAAACCATCAGTGTTACCTATTGCTTTCCTATATCTCATACTGTGGGGATGTTCAGATTGCAGTTTTACTTCATTTGAGGCAATGGTGAAGCCCAAAAGGCCTATCCAATGCCTTACGTAAACTGAACATGTGACCTAGAACATGCTGGAGTTTTATAACAGACACGAGGAAGAGTTCCTTCACAGAGGAGTCATTTTGAAAAGCAAAAATAGTCACAGTATAGAAAAAGTACAGTGGTACTTCGCAAGACGAATGCCTCGCAAGACGGAAAACTCGCAAAACGAAAGGGTTTTTGGTTTTTTGAGTTGCTTCGCAAGACGATTTTCCCTATGGGCTTGCTTCGCAAGACGGAAACGTCTTGCAAGTTTGTTTCCTTTTCTTAAAACCGTTAATACAGTTGCGACTTGACTTCGAGGAGCAACTCATAGCATGCGGTGTGGTAGCCTTTTTTGAGGTTTTTGAAGACTTTGGTGATTTTTGAAGCTTTTCCAAAGCTTTTCCGACACCGTGCTTCGCAAGATGAAAAAAACCGCAAGACGAAAAAACTCGTGGAACGAATTAATTTCGTCTTGCGAGGCACCACTGTAGCTTCATTTGCATTGACAACAGAGAAATCAAAGCAATATTATGCAGATGTGAATGCTGTATGTTGTTTTAAGAATATTTTAATTTTAAATTTAATTGTTTTGTAATTTGTTGTGTTTTGGCTTACTTATTTTATTGTTTGGTTCACCTGGTTTTTGCAATCTTGCTTTTGTTATTGCCTACGTAAAAAAAAAACATTGAACTAAGTTTGCAATCAGCTCTTTTTTTAAAAAATATTTTATTAAGGATTTTCTTGTTTTACAGAAGTGTAGTGCCTCGTATTTTTTTTTTTCATGTTACATTTTTACAAATCCATTTCATTTGTTGAGGCATTAGGGGGAGAAGAAAAAAAAAGAAAAAAGAAAGGGGGGGTGGAGAGAGGGAAGATGGATGGGGGTGGGGTCGGGTGGCGGTGTTTCTATTATGTTTAATGTATGTAGAGTTTGGTGTCAGCGTTGCTTGTGTTGTTCACTTGTGTTCCTTTGGTGGTGAGAGAGGTTGGGGTTGGCCTAGGGTGTGATTGTTTGCTTGTGATTGGCTGTGGTGATCTTTGTTTTCGTGTGTGAGTGAGGTGGGTGGGTGTTTTGGATCAGGTTAGCCATATTGATTTGTATGCTGTTGGTGGATTATTGTCATTGTCCTGTTGGGCTGTGTATGTGATAAAGGGGAGCCATACCGGGGTGAAGGCGTCTTCTTCTGTTTGTCCCCGTGTCAGTTTCAGTTTATTAGTTAATTTTTCTAGTAGGGCTGTTTCCCATACTATTTGGTACCATTGGTCCATGCTTACTCCTGACAGGTCTCTCCAGTGTCTGGTTATGGTGTTTCTGGCTGCTGAGAGCAGGTGGGTTATGAGTTCTTTGTGGTGTAAATGGGCATTGTTGTCTTGGAAGATGTTTAGTAGGGCCAATTCTGGGGTGATGTCTATTACTTGCTTAGTTATTTTACATATTTCTTGTATGGCTGTTGTCCAGAATAGTTGGATTTTGGGACACTCCCACCACTTGTGGAGGTATGTGCCTGTGGAGGTGCACCCTCTCCAGCATTTTGGTGAGGTTCCTGGGTGTATTAGCGCTAGTTTCCTTGGTGTTAGGTACCACCTGTAGGTGAGTTTCAGTGTGAGTTCTTTTCTTTTCGTTGATATGGATTTAAAGGGGGTTTAGACCACATTCTGGTCCATTGAGTGGGGTTAATCTCATAGCCTATGTCATTCTCCCATTGTTTTTTGATTGCGTCTAGGGATTTGCGGGATTTTGGAGTAGTATTTTGTATATTGCGGATACCGTCCCTTTACCGTTTCCCTTTGTTGTTAGGAGGAGGTTTTCGAAGGTTGTCAGGGGCCTAGTTGCTGCTGATTTTACTGTTGGGTTGTTTAAGAGGGCATGTAGTTGGTGTTGTGTTAACCAGGGCATTTGGGTGTCTTCTAGTTTGTCTTGTATTTCTTGTGTTGACAAGGGTTTGTTATTTTTATAAAAGTCTATTAGGCGATATAAGCCTTTGGTTCGCCAGGTTTTTATCTTGAGGTTTTGTGCGTTTGCAATCAGCTCTAAAACAATACTTGGTTCAACCAATCCAAGAAGAACATCACAAGCCATGAAAGAAGAAAAATCAATAAGAATAACCTATTGTCTTCTCCACATTGCATATGTATGCATAATCATCACCAATGAGACCTAAAAATGAGAAGGTTCAAATATGTATACTTTCTTCACTGTCCTTCTGAGCCTAAACAATTCTGAAGACTATATCACTGAAACTAAACTTACAAACGTTGCTGTTTAATATTGAAAACACCGTTTTTAAAAGCAATTTGTTCAGCTTCCAAGATATTGATCCACTTCAGCAATATAGAATTTCAATGTACAGTCATACCTCAGGTTAAATATGCTTCAGGTTGAGTGCTTTCGGGTTGCGCTCCGTGGCGACCCGGAAGTAACGGAACACGTTACTTCCAGGTTCCGCCGTTCGTGCATGCGCAGACGGTCAAAATGACGTCACGCACATGCGCGGAAGCAGTGAATCGCGACCCACAGACGCAGGTTGCAATCCGGAATGGATCCCGTTCGTATCCAGAGGCACCACAGTATGGCATACAGTTTTCCAGTGGTTGACAATATGCTTATTGGTCTGTAATTCACTGGGTGCAATTTGGAGCCATTTAAACAAACTGGCACCACCACTGCTTTGAACCCACTAAGAGGGACATGGCCAGATTTAGCATTGTGGGTAAATAGTCTGGTGAGAGTTGTGACACACCAATCAGCATAAGAGTAGAGTAATTCAAATGGAATAAAAACTAAACTGGAGGTTGTCCAGGTTTAACTTGTGCTATAAAATTTAATATATCTGATTCCAATACAGGTTCCCAGTCTTGCAAAGATGTGACCATTTTGGATTTCCCAATACAAGTAAGTGCGATTTCCAACAATCTGTTTTCTCCAGATCGTGATATGGATCCAGGGGTTGGGTCAGGTTCAGATTGTTCCAGGTTAGGTCAGGCTGGTCTGAACCACCAAATCAGGCGCTAAGTCAGATGTGGCTTTGGGGTGGGTGTATGCAGTCTGAGTACAAAATATTAAAGACCAAATAATATATCAGGCAAAATGGGTCTGTTCTTCGGTAACAGGTCAAACACCTAAACCTGCACTATGAAAACTGGGATCTTGAATTTGCTGAGAAATGTTCCAAGAGAAATTCTACCAGAGAAGTCTGCAAAACTTATTCAGTCTGTTAAGTTTCTTTACCACAATAGAAATAGCTTTGATTAGCCACATGAATGACAACTGGTTTGAGCTTAATCCAGTTGGTTTAAAATAAATAAATAATAATAATGGTAATAATAATATAATATAAAAGCATAATAATTATTTTCATATTGAATGAAAGATTCCCCCCCTCCTCCAATATACCATCTAGTTTCTCCTATATTTATAGATCAGTTCAGGAAAGAATGCAAATAATTCCACAGGGGTCAATGTACCTTGAGGTTTATTTGAATGGAAAATCCACACGACATAACAATACTCCCCAAGAAAGGCACTAACAGAAATTTCTAGAAATAATTACCATTGTTACTGGCAAAGGCAACTTACTTTTCACTCTCAATCCAATCTGACCCTGTTCTACTCAGACAAGAGGTCTATAAAATCTGATACTTCTTATAATTGAAGACTGCAGACTATATGATTACCTTTCTTTCATGCAAGAAAAAAGAGCCTACAATAATTAAGGGACTATGGAATAAAATAATGAATTCCCTACAGTGAGGACTGTGGAAGTTATTAACTTCTATGGGCTAGGCTCAGACAATCTGACCAGCCATGCATTGTGGAGGAACAGAATATTAATTGCTCATTTTGTGCCTATTAATATTGGGGGGTTTTCCCTACACGTACCTACTATTCAAATGTGAGATCCATTTGTGCACATGCACCCAGAGGCAGGACTGTGCTCCTGACAGGTGGTGCAACTGGCTGTGATTCATTTCGCTCAACACACATCATACAAACTGGCTGTGTTAACATATCCAGTTTTCAAGGGCGGTCCTATTATTTACTGCCAGCTTCTTCTGGTGGTACCCCTTTAAGAATGTGAACATTCAAGATGGCATTGTGGGGATCTTTAATTGTTCTGACATGCAAAGCAAAATACACCTACCCTTTGTTGCCATAACAGATTCCTATGATTATCTAGTCACTCATGCCTATACAAATGGTTTGGGATTCGTAAGAGTCCCATGGACTTTCATGCACAGATTGAAACTTTTGACTGGGCAACACACAAATCACAACCTACTTTTGAGATTCCAGGTTTATAGGCAGTTTGTTATGTGAAATGCAGAGTTGCTGCTACTCATGAAAAACATCTAACTTGCCTTTTGGCCTAGGGAACTAGTTGATCAAATAGATTATTCAGATCTTGTCTGTGATGCCTTTTCAGTAAGAGGGAAGCACAGCTACAACCCATCAGTCATGCTCTAAAGTGTTTGGTCTCGTTCAGATGTAGTGGTTCAGCCACAGTTTAAACCTGGCTGATTATAACAAACTGGAGTTTAATCAAATCATGGTTCTTCAAATTGGGACTTCCATGTGGGAACTGTGGTATGTTTAAAAATGGAAATGGAAAATTCTGATCTCATCCTCTGCTGTCCAAAATAAGGGGTGGGGGTGGGAAATGTACCTACCTAAGGTAACAGAGTGGCAAACAATGGATTCCTGTTAGGTCTGAACCAGGACTATAATGTTAGGTTATGGAAAGCTCCTGTTTGGGAAGGCTCCACTATGCAATCAAACTACAGGCCTTATGCAAATGAAAATTGCATGGAACTTTCCCACAGACTTTATTTAGGCCTAAATATATAGTTACAATTAACCCTAGCATCTTGCCAGATTTTACAGCTGCCACTGATAATTTGCACAATACCAAAAAATGCAGTTGTAGGAAATACTGAGAAGTCACTGAGTATGTATTAATGTAACCAAAAGCTGAGTTTAGCTATTTGGCTAGTAACGCTGCCTATTTGCTCATCAGCTTTCAAACTGTACAGAGATCATTCAGTTCATACCATCAGCTTTACACAACTACAGTAGCAAGTATCTCATACAGCCTTTTGAGGCAAGCGTTTTAATGTCACACAGGCTTTTTAAGAAATAGAAACCACAGGGGGGGAAACAGCAGGAGCATATTTAAAGTCCCCTTTCCCCCATCCCAGAGAATATAAACTACAAAAAGCCCATAATTCCATCTTAGAAGTTATAGCGCTGCCTGCACTGTTAAGAAACAAGACTTAATGTAGTCACTCAAATTTATTGCATGCCTACACAAATTGTGACCCACCAAACTGAACACAGCTCACCAGCCATGTATTACAGCCTTTTTGGTGCTTGTTGACATCCCATTTGTTTTTGAAGCCCTAGACAGGCAACCTAAACAAGAAACTTTCAGCAAGCCCTTGGGACCCACCATATATGGCTATGTTTGAATTGGTGGGTCCAAGTACAGGCATGGTTTACCATCTTGACTTTAGCTCAACTGGCTGTGATTTCCCAGTCTCCTGAAGGCCAGTGAATGCTCTACACTAATGGGAATTATTCTTGGGCAAGGGTGCATAAAATTGCAGTCAGAAAAACAAAATTCTGCAACAAGGAAACCCAAATTCTGCAAGATGGAAACCAAGTAAAAAATATGTGGCAGCTGTAGACTGTTACACAAGCCACATTAGCAGAAACTCCCTCTAAAAAATTCGCTCCCAGGCGCCTCCTTATCTGTGAAAATTATGCAAACTGAATTATTTTGCATGGTTTTCTGGAGCTTTACATGCATGGTTTATTTTGCTTTTGTTAACCGTAAAAAAAGACAAGGAGCTGTATGGATTACTGAAACCACACTCCTGACAAGTGGAAATGTTATTCGGCAAAACTGTCTTCGCCAACCTGGTGTCCTCCAGATGGTCTGAACTACAATTCCCATCAGGCACTAGGTTGGTGTAGGCTACAAAAACTCCTCTGTGGGGCTGTCTTTCAAAATTGCCTGGAAGCTCTATCTGGCTCAACATAGGGTAGTGAGATTATTGATGGGCATTGACAACTATCAGTGTATTACTTCAGTGTTTTGTCATTTGCACCCTAAATCCCAGTTGCAATTCAAAATGCTGGCATTAATCTCTAAAGCCCTAATTTTATTGGGGCCCATATACCTGAATGATCGCCTCCTCTCATATAAATCTGTCCAGACTTTAAAATTCCCATCACTAGGTGAGGACTTTCTCCAAATTTCCACCCTTAGTGAACTAAAGGTGTCCTGAGAAATGACCTCTACAGTGGTGGTGCCCCATTATAAAGCCTTCTCTCCATAAAGGCTTGCCTGGCAGCCTGGAACCTATATAAAGACATTTCAGTGCCAGGGGAAAACACTTCTATTCGTGCAGGTCATTTAATAATTAGGGTGCAGTCCAAACCCACAATCTGCCAAGCTCAGAATAGTTCCAACGCTCTCTGCTAGAATCACTCGGATGGTGCAGAGCTCCCTACTCCATGTGCTGATAGTGCAGGTGGGCAAAAGTATCACTGGCAGGAAATGGTAGCCCATGGAAAGCCCAAAAGATAGCGTTCTGGGGATGGAAATGGGCTGAGCGAGCCCAGGATCTGCTGGATCCTGAGTCAGTGCCACTGCCATTAGGCATCAGGCTCAATATGGGTTCAATTGCTGCAGATGAGACTTTTGCCTGCACCACCTTCAACTCCCATCCCAGCCTGCCTGAGCACCAATAACTACAGGTATGGTGGCAGTACACAGCTCTGTCACACCCTCTGCTGCCAGGCTAAAGTCTGGGTTGCTCTGCCAGAACATTTTTGTTTCTGACCTAGGGTATTTTGTTTTCTCCCTTGGCCAGACTTCAGTGCTGTTTTTATCATTCTTGATCTTACCCACCATCATAGTGGCTTTATATTGATTAGAATTCTTTTATTTTATTGCAGCTGTATTTTATTGCTTTTAAAAGTTGTGAAGTGCCCAGAGGACATGGTTAACTTGGCAGTATATAAATGCCAAAACCTATATATATATATATAGAGAGAGAGAGAGAGAGAGAGAGAGAGAGAGTGAGTAAACTGGTTGCTGCAGTCTACATTGAATTAAAATACAGTCTAGAAATCAATTTTAAGCGGCCTTCCTTCAGACTATTTATGCTAAACCCTTCACAGAACTGAGAAAGGCAAATGTTGGACAGACAAGCACATTTTAGAATTCGCCAGAACAAAAATTACATATATTTAAACAAATGAAATATTTGCTTTAAAAGACAACCAGAAAAGGCATTTGAAATTTTTAAAAGGCATTTCTAATTACCGTACTTTTCCATGCATAACAGCCCCCGTGTATGACGCCCCCATTTTGGGGGACTAAAATTAAAGAAAATGGGGGGAGATGGCCCAAAGCTGTTGAGCAATTTTTTTGTGGGGGGTGGGGATGCCGAAAATCACTTACCCAACTGGCAAATGCTAATAATAGCAAGCAACGCAAGCCAAATTGCTGAAGCGGCAGCCAATCGAAACCCTCGTCTAATACACAGAAAAGTATGGCAATATCACTGTTCTAATTCCAATGGCAAATAAATACATAGCACTAGATGTCACCATTTGTCAGCAATTAATCAGAGATGGAATTCTAACACAAGAAGGTCTTGACCCCCAAAGATATGAGGTCCCACTATCAATCTACCATAATCCAAAGTAGCACAATGTGACACATGCACAAAACAAAATATTAGAAATATTTGTACAGCCAATTAACTAAAGCACATGATCTCCTCTGCAGATTACACATAAACTCACAAAACACAAGGTGCATGTATGTAGTATATTATCAAGGAATTAAGCATTTGTAACATGGGTAAATTTATCTAGGCTAAAGGAGGAAGGGTAGGGGGGGAAACCCTGAAAAAATACAGATGGAGGATACTAGTGAGGCAAAGATTAGTGCCAAGGATAGCAACACATAGTCAGTACATATACAGGGTAGATGATCAGTCAAGAACATGAGCCAAGAAGCTACCAGTCAAATTAACACACATGCATTTGGTCAAGGTACAATATATGCAGAGTCAGGGTTGTTAAGGTGCAGTGAATCTGCCCAAAGTTTTCATTCCATTGCGTGAACATTTTAATAGAGTCCTTGCCTATTAACTCTGCATCCTTTATGGAGCAACAACAGCACTCAACTGTGATATTTTTGTGAAAGCAACGCAGCCATGCATGATTTAGAATGCAGTGAGGAAGATCCATACAAACTACAGGAGCCAAGAGGAATACTTTGTAAAACTATCTAATATTTTCAATTTAGGAGTGGCTGGCATCTTCCCACTATGATTGGGCCTCTACGTTTAGGTAATTTTACAAGTAGCAAGCCAAGCCTGGGATCAAGTTTCATACTTACTTACTTACTTACTTACTTAGTTACTTACACCTTTTCAAATCTGTAAGTGTAGAGGTCATAAGAGAAATAGACTTCCTGGAGCCAAAGTCACCTTCCATCCAGAGCTTCCATTTGCTTTTCCCACCATCGAAAGGAAGGAAGGGCTGCTAAGAACTGGGGGGGGGGGTGGAAATCCCAGTGGAGGCACTCTCAGATTTATGAATTTGAACTCGGTGTACACATTCTTTACATATAATAAGACTCCCTGTCCCCCCTCCCACTTTGAACAAGGCATACCCTTCAGCTGCTATGTTCCAATCATGAGTCTCCCCTCATCACACCTCAGTAATACCTTAATTTCCTGGTTAGGATGCCAGATCCTTCCTGTTTGTTTCCCATATTTTGTGTCGTAAGAGACCATGGCCATTGCACCTTCCCAATTTCCCTGCTGTTGTATTTACCTGAAAATTACCAGGCCCCACTTCCATTGTACTGCCTCTTTTTTTCTTTTGCCTTCTTCCTAGTACTTGACTCAGTATACAGCTCTGGGCTTTTGCCTCCATTCCTCACAGGATTTAGTCTGAAGGTTTCCTTGATCATTTTTACAAGGTTCCTGAAAAGCACGTTCTTCCCAGTCCTAATGGGGTGCATCCCGTCTCCCACCAGGTCCAAGAAACAATGCTATCTTGTAGCTGGCTGTTCACTTATGGCATCCTGCTATAACTCCCCAACCTTTTACAGGAAGGAGGGAACTGGGTGGAGGGACTACTTTTGTCCCCAAGGCTTTCAAAAATGGCTTACTGGTTTTAGGCATTTGCATTAACCTAGCATAGCTTTGTCCATGAAAAACAGGACAAGGACAAGGGACAACAGCAAAGAAATATTTTTGGTATGGCAAATCATGATTTCCTATTTATTTAGGGGAAATAAATGAATTTATAAATTACTTCTTGGTAAGATGAGAGCAAGAATCCCATTGCAGGGCCCACAGAAAGTAATGAAGTTTGGGGCTAAAGCACCAAGGGTGTGGGGTTCCCTGCTGTAACAAAATCCACTGTATTTGAAATGAGAGCCCTCTTATGTTGAAAAAACCATGGCTTCTACTACAGTGGTACCTTGGGTTACAGACAATTCAGATTGCAGACAATTCAGGTTACAGACACTTCAGGTTACAGACTCCGCTAACCCAGAAATAGTACCTCGGATTAAGAACTTTGCTTCAGGATGAGAACAGAAATCATATGTCGGCGGCAGCAGGAGGCCCCATTAGCTAAAGTGGTGCCTCAGGTTAAGAACAGTTTCAGTTTAAGAACGGACCTCCAGAACAAATTAAGTTCTTAACCCAAGGTACCACTGTATTAGCTATAAATAGAATACACAGTCTTGCTCTATTATATTACAGCTAAATAACTTGTCCATTTTATAAGAAAAGTAGAGGAAAGTAAATGTGTGCATGTCTGGAAGAAAGCAGGGGAGAGAAAAATCTCACTGCTGAAAAGTGTTCTGCCAAAATAAACCTTGGAGCATTTTATAAATTAATTCTGGTCCGCATGTTTATTTTTCTTTTGGAAATTCTAAAATGAGACCGTTCAAATCATCTTATTGGCAGCAGCATATTTTTAGAGGAGTGAAGAAAAAAAACCCACAGAGCTCTGTTACTGGAAGGTGCTTGCTATTTTTTTCACTGAAAGTATTCTTTCCTTCTGACCTGGCATATTAGATAAGATTTATACTTCTGACCTGACATTATGTAGTTAAGATTTATTCTTCTGTATCAGCTTTATGATGCTTGCAAGCTATTTATTTACAGCATGGGGAATATATTTATGGCATAAGAAACAGAGATTGTACTTTAAAAAATAGTAAAAAATATGTCAGGGAGAGTCCCATGTAACAGTGAAAACAGCAGATGCCCCTACAGCTGCTTCCCCCGGGCTCTTGGGGTATTTCCTTTGTTGTTTCAGCATCAGCATTAGACAATTTCAAGTCATTTTGATGGAGAGCAACCTTAGACAGTTCCAAAAGCTCCAGCACATCCAAATATATGCTGAAGTGCAAGATAAAACAGGCTTTTTTCCTTAAGCTCAAGCTGCGATCAGTCGCTAACACGGATCCAATTGACTTGATTTTGATTCATTGTGTTTCTATGCCACTTTCCATTCAAAATCATCTCAAAGCCGCTTACAAACAATAAATAACAATAACAGAACGGAACATCATGAATACAACATGAACCACAGAAAAAAAAATTACAAATCATCAACGAAACAATTGCAATCTATAAAACACCATTAACAAAGCAGCAACTGAAAAATAAGCCAAGCATCGCAATAATCCATAAAACAATATCAACGTTAACAAAATAGCAACTAAAAAAAGAGAGAGAGCTATGCACAGTCAAGTCTGTACACACACTCTTCACGATCACATGTCTTATTATCTTCCATTCTATTCATTAAAACACAGGGGATGGACTGGGAAGTCCTGGAGAAAGTGATTTTTGTTCTGCATTATTTTGTTTTGGGAAATGTATGATGTATATATTCAAAATCTGGAAAATGTGTCAAATGAAATGAAATAACTGGAATTTAAATAATAAAATAAAACACACATAATGCCTGTTGTTAAGACAGCTCAGCCAAATGCTGTGCCAGCTGGGGTTCTTGGGTAGTGAGTGGGCCATGGTGGAGGCAGTGGGGCTCTCAGGCCTATCACCAGTGGTAAAGGATATGTTGACTCAGCATAGTAATCAGGGGGTCCATTCCCACTCGAGAAAGTCCAAGACAAGCCTGTCCCTCTGGAGCAGAGAGTCGTGGCTGCACTTGGTGTAGAGGCAGACCAAGACGTCCAGCAGTGCCTCCACACTCAAGACACTCTTGCTGGGCACAGTCCAGCCAAAATAAAGCTCAGTGAAGTTACATTAATTTCACTGGGAGTATTAAGCACATGTTTACATCCTTCCTATTAGAATCAATGAGCGTTAAAAGAGCTTAACTTTCATTAGATCATACTCATTGTTTCAAGTGCTGGTTTTGATTACATTGCCATTTTAAAGAAAAGGTAACTCTACTTGGGGCTGATTTACACATGCACATACACCATTTGGTATCTCATCACTCAGATGCTTAACACTTAATAACTCACAGCTGAATGCACAAATTACTGCCTCTGCTGAAAAGGAATGCATTCCCCAAAAATAATCAGGTTAAGTTCTCTTCATTTTTTGTTTTTGGTGCTGTCACACATGTAAGTCATCACAATGCTGGAGCCATTGGTTGACAATTATTCACATATGAACATATCTTTCACTTGAAATGCCAAATTATGGTTTACAAGACTTAGATGTGGTTAATTGCAACATCCAAATTGGCAAACCATGGCTTAAAGCAGATCTGCAAACTATGGGTAGAACAATGTAGCACTAAGGATATCATTCTGTCAATACAAGCATTTTCCCTTGCTTCTACGCTCTCTTCTGTGGAGCCTTCCAGGGCAGATTTTGGAGAGATATGGGGTCACATGCCCCACATTTCTATAAAATATCCAAGGAAACTCACCTTTTCCATGTGCTCTTTGATGAAATTCCCAGCTTTCCATTCTGTACCACTCTGACTTAGCCTGCAACAAAGTCTAAGAATGTGCAACTGAAAAAGCTACATTCTTCCCAATGCCTATCCCTGCCTCCACTTCCCTCTCTTCCTCTAATGTTTCCCTGTGTCAATTTTAGTATGAAAGCACCTCAGGGTAGGGACCTGCTTTGTTATCTACTACACTGGGCCTGCCACTTCCACATAATTTACTTATGCGACTGCAGCCTCCAAATAAATAAATGGAGAGTGGGGAAAACTTACCATGGACAGAGCTTTTTAATCCCCACACCTTGCCTACTGGGCTCTGGGAAGGTCGTGTGAGGCCTGGTAAGCAAGGCAGAGGACTAAGCTCGCTCCAGACAGGTAGGGATGGTTGCACAGGAGGGAGGCATGGTTCTGAGGGTTTCCTTTGTTGTTGTTGTTTAGTCATTTAGTCGTGTCCGACTCTTCGTGACCCCGTGGACCAGAGCATGCCAGGCACTTCTGTCTTCCACTGCCTCCCGCAGTTTAGTCAAACACATGCTGGAAGCTTTACACAATTTGGCTTTGCATGTGGATGCCCGGAACTGAACTCTCACGTAGTGAGGTCACTGTATATATTTTGAAAAGTAGTTTGTCTGTTTGTCCATTTGTTCTCTATGAGTTTGGACACCTCTTGATATATCATTGCCAAACTTTACACAAGGGTTCCTGAGATGGGCTCAGTGGTTGTTGTTGATGTTTGGATGTCAGGTGCCATTTTGAATCAAGATGGCAGACCAAAGCATGGTTTTGATGTGACTTCACCTGATTTTTGGTGTAAGGGGTCCAAACTGTGCCACTTTCAAACTCTGCACAAGGTTTTCATTGACATTGGGTCACTGGGAACCATTTTTAATCAAGATGGTGGACCAAAACATAACTTTGGCATGACTTCACCTGGCTTTTGGCTTGACTGTTCCAAACTCTGCTGATTTGGATGCCTTTGAAGATATTGTTGCCCAATTTGCTGATCCTCACCTGTACCAATTTGGATGCCTCTCAATATATCATCACTCTACTTGACACAAGAGTTCCCAAGGTAGAGGCAGCAGTCTTCATCAATGGCTTGAGTGCCAGGCGCCATTTTGAATGAAGATAGTGGAGCAAATTAACCCCAAATGCGCTTTAACTCCACACACCAAAATGATTCAGGACTCGGTCAGGTGCTCTCCAGGTTAGTTTGGAGCCCTGTGTAGCATGTGTGTGCACCCTGGCTTGTTTGTATATACAGACATAACCCCCAAACTCACAAATGACACAATCCATTTAAAAATCATAATTCTGAAAGGGGAGTTCTTTAAATTCCCAAGCAGTGCTGGACACTCCCTGATAGTACTCTATTACGGATCAAGGCAAGCTGGTGGTGATGGTGGTGACGATAATGAAATATACTACTTTGTGGTTGGTATTTGAGAGTTGTGAAGAAAAGAAATTTTAAAAATCCTGACTGAGGAGTTGAATGTTTGTTTGAACAATCCCTAGTTGTCATCATCTTTTCAGTTCAAGGTTACTTTTGTCAAGGTTTATGGTCTGTTCTATGTGTAATGCCTTGGGGCAAAGAAGGTAAGGAGTGGTAAGCCCAATAATATTTCAAGATAATCCTGAGGTGCTTCCTTTTACCAACCTTTGTTGCCTATTTAGATTTTTCATTCCAGACAAAGTCTCTTAACATGTATTCTTATACAGTAATTTAACCTATGGGCTTTCTGCTCTCAGCAGCTTGAAAGTCATTACTCCAGTAAAATAATAATAACGGTACTTTTTTGGTTTACTCTCTTTTTTTACTCCAGTTGTGGATTTCATTTAAGTAGTGCAATCATATTTCCCTGTCTTCTTATACAATATTAATTATAAAATAATAGTACAGCTCTTTGCTTCTTATATACTCCACATTGCACTTCTGTGCATGTTTATTAAGAAGTAACCTCTGCCTAGGATTCCAACACACTTACCTGAGAATTAGCCCATTTAACATAATTGGACTTACATTCAAATATACATGCACAGGATTGCACCCCTGTTGTATTCATCCCACTGAAGCCAATTGTTTGTAAGTAGTTTTAGGCTTGATTTGGTGTTCAGCTAAGTATGTAAGTTTTCGAAGCACTTATTTAGGAATAGGAGGAAAGTTTATGGGTGAGTTATGACAATGTCAAGAAGGTGATGTAGTAAAAGTCATAAAATACTTGCAGATGCTGGTATTTGTAGCTTTGGAGAAGAAGCACTGGAATAATGTTTACTGTTGCTAAGCGTGTCTGTGGGAGACCTGCAGCAGGGAACATGGGTGGTTTCCCGCTCTTTGACCCACAGAGCTGATAGGAATCAAATATCATGTTCTAAAAGTTACCTTCAGTAAATTCTGTTGTATTGTTGGATGCGCTCATAACATAAATTCTATAAAATACATTAAAGTGCCATGTTTTTTACAGTTGGATTTGTGCATGAGGATCCGGGGATGCACTGCAGGTGTTTCTACATCAGCTAGTCATTTCTATTTTGTGATTTATATTTGGACTCAGTTCAAAAACACTCCAACATAAAACAGAGCCTGACGTTACCGGGTAATACCAGGCAGGTAAACATATCCAAGTCCTACCTGAACTACACATCCTTACACATTACCATCTTAAAACACAATGAGGTGTTTTCCCCCCATTGTGTTTCAATTTGCATTTGCATTCCTATGCTTTGACATGTTTCCACATCACCCACAGCCTGCCCACACCACTGAGTGGAGATGGAGTGGGGATATCCCAATGCAAACTGCCTGGTGGGTGTCCTCACCCTTCCACCTACCTTCTCTCCTGCTGGAACTAACTTGTGAAAAGCTAAGCCCAGAGGCACTTGGAGCTAGGAAACCAGAGCCTCATATTACAGGTTCTTGAGAACAGCTTTAAGTCCACTACAAAACAGTTGGAAAGTATTTAAACTTAAGCAGAAGCAGATATATTGCTGGCACCATCTTCATCTGCGCATGCATGCCCATACTGCCACCACACATGTAGAGCCACACCCAGAAGGAAAGGTCAGTGTCTCAAGTATACACACTGGGGCTTCACTGTTAATTGAATAAGGCTACAGTTTCTAAGTTGGATCAAAGCTGGTTTGTGGGATATGCATCAAACCTCAGTATTTCACAAAAACTGCAAAATACATCTGGATCATTGACAATACCAGGGGTCAGCAACCTTTTTCAGCCATGGGCTGTTCCACTGTCCCTCAGACCATGTGGGGGGGGGATGAACGAATTCCTATGCCCCACAAATAACCCAGAGATGCATTTTAAATAAAAGCACACATTCTGCTCATGTAAAAACATGCTGATTCTTGGACCATCCACGGACTGGATTGAGAAGGCGATTGGGCCACATCTGGCCCACAGACCTTAGGTTGCCTACCCCTGGATAATACTATGTGAACAGAGATTGAAAAACCAGCAGTGGGAGCACACTGGAACCAGTATAAACAGTATTCTGTAACCAGCCATAGGCCCCATCTGCATTATACATTTAAAGCAGTATCATAATGCTTTAAACATTCATAGCTTTCCTCAAAGAATCCGGGCAACTGAAATTTGTTAAGGATGTTGAGAATTGTTAGGAGACTCCTGCTTCACTAAGAGAGCTATGGTTCCCAGAGTGGTATAACAATCAATCCCTCTTCCCAGGAAACTTTGTGAATTTTAGCTGCCTTCTTCCTCCCCATTTTCCCCTTCATTCCCGCAAATGTCAGAGAAGGGTAAGCAGAACCAGTGGTTGGACTGGGGATCCAGTGCTGCTGCTGCTGCTACCTATTTAGGACGAAGAGTCAGTCTGGGTAAGGCGGCAGCAGGAAGAGCAATATGGAGAGGAAGAAGACATCCAGAAGTGGTCGTGGTCAGCCTGCTGATCTACTGCTCCCACTGCCAATTAGTATGGAAAGATGCCCAGGTAAGACAGCAATGGGAGGAGGAGTACAGGGAGGAGGAAAGTGATCAGTAGAAGCACTGGCCAGCCTGGGGCCCCATGGTAAATCACAGCACACTATTCTGTCCCCCATGCTGTTTGACATTTCTCTTAAATTGGGGGGCCTGGTATGCAGTGCCAACTCTGCCACTCATTTTTATCTTATTCAGGTGAAGTAATTGAAGTCCTGAACCAGTGTCTGAGATCGGTGGTGAATTGGATAAAGGCCAATAAACTGAAGATTTATCAGAATAGGGAAGTGGAATTCAGTCTGAACTGGGCAGGATTGCATATCCCTTAAGAAACAAGCACAGTTTGGAGCTGCTGTTAGTTACAGGCTTGTTCTGGGAAGCCCAAGTGCATGAGGCACTGTTCATCAGCTGAGCCTGGGGAGTCAGAGCCTTCCTCATCAGAGACAACCTTGTCACTTTTATCCATGTGTTGACATTTCACTTATATTACTGCAATGTGTTTTACATTTGGCTGACTCAATAAATCATTCCTGAGCTTAGGTTGGTGCACAACACTGCAGCTGGATTGCTGACCAGGGCCAGGTATTCAGAAAATATATTGCCAGTCTTGATCCAAATGCCCAGGCTTCTGGCTCAATTCAAAGTGCTGATTATGGCCTTTAAAGCATGATATGGCTTAGGACCACTGCATCTTAAGGAGCACTTGAAGCAAACTTACTTCAGAAGAAAACCCACAGTGGTCCTTGCAAAGGTCAAATTTGCCCTTCATGGAACTCTGGGCAGCAGACATGGGGGCACCTAGCTTCCAAACCAGGCACTAGCCAGGCTCACATCTGCTAGCAATGTAACCATACCATGTGACACCATTCTTTGTATCTAGGTCAGCATACATGTGTGTGTGCGCGCACACACTCATGTATTAAATAGCCAGTTCCCAATATTCTGTTCTTTCTTATATTGCTAGCACACACAAGCATCTGTTATAGCCACTTCCCAACATTCCCTTCTTTGTCAAAAGCAAGCAGATTTCCCCAAACTGGTCCTCTCCAGATGTTTCTGGATTGCAACTCCCACCATCTCAGACCATCAGTGATGCTGGCTGGGGTTGAGGAGAGTCCTACTTCGTCAGGAGTGCACCAAATTGAGGGAGGCTGCACTAGAGTGTGATAGAAAAGTCAGACAACTGACTTGCAGAAGGAGAAGGAGACAGGGAGTAAAACCATCTCTGATCAGAGATGCCTCACTTCATTTCTCCCATACATGAAGCCAGTTCTTGGTCTAGCATGGGAGCCATGTGGGTGGAGGAACTCACCTTTCCTATCTCTCCATACTGCATACATCTGGGGAAGGAAGACTATGTCCTGACATACTGTCTAGCATCCTGAGTGTGTATACTTTTTTCTCACAGGCAATTCTCATGTGCATCAGGAAAGGAGATGGTAATTATTTAGCAAGTCAGTTAGTTATATGACTAACTGATGTGCGGGAGGCACATTCGCAACCCTCAGTGCCACGTCTGCGCACATGCGTGATGCGATTCGGCGCTTCTGCACATGGACAAAGCACGATTTAGCACTTCTGCGCATGCGCGAGTGCCGTAACCCGTTCTGGTACTTACGGGTTTGGCGCGTCCATAACCTGAAAACACGCAACCCACAGCGATCACAACCCAAGCTATTACTGTAAACAGGAGTTAGATACAATTACAATAAATTCACCTCGTGCCTAGAAACAGAAGTGGCTGTGGCAGCAGCTGAACAAAATAGGTACTGTACAGAAGGAAGGCTGTAGCAGAAGAGAGGTGAGAAGTGAAGAGGGAAGAATTGAAGAAGTGAAGGAGATGGGATGAGCAAAAACCCATAGGATGAAAGGCAGGTGGGACTTCTCCCCTTCTTCTCCAAAATAGCCCTCTGTACCATCCTTCAAATTGTAAGGGCAAATAGCTATAAAGAGAGAGGAGGGGAAACAAATGACTGCTTACCCAATCCTGGGGTGTGTGACTGCTGGACAGTCAGCTGGCAATTGTGGGCTTCCCCTGGCCAGCTGCTTAAGTGGGCAGACTTTCCCGCCAGCCAGTGTTTGAATTTGGATCAATCCAGCCAGGCTGGGTGGGCATGGTTTGAGAGCAGACCAGAGTGGACCAGGCTTCACTCTAGTCTGCCCCCAATAAAAGCCCGTTGCGCCTGACCCCAGAACTTTTTAAAGACCAGAATGTTGTTTTGTCCAGTTTCTTCACCTTCCTTAGTTTAGGCCTTGCTCCGTGGGAAGGGGTCGCTGCGAGTGGGTCCGCAACTTCAAACAACTTCTCTCCCAAAAGATATATATGCACTCCTATTTCTACTTGGTAATTGTAAACAGTTTTGCAGATTTTGCTTGCTTGTTTCTTAGCAGAATCTACTTTGAGCATACATGTAACATGTTAAGAAAATGGATCAGGAAAAGTTGACTGGTGCTTTAACTGCATCAAACTAGGTATTTACTTAACTTTAGACAGGTGATTTCTCCATAAACAGACTCTCCTTCAGAGTCCTTTATAATGTAAACCTATACAGCTGATATTTTTCAATGGTTTTTCACTGTGTTATATATAATTGAAATGGATGTTTGACTTCAGTGGAGAAGGAGATGTAGGTAACAGGGAGTGAGTAGCTCTATTGACAATGCGGTGAGGCTACTAATTTCTTTAGGCTTAGCCCCAAAGTATTTTGACAGATCCAAAGAGTGAAAATTAGAAAATATTTGTTCTCTTTCTCTGAAAGGACAATTTTCAAAAGTCCAATTTATATTTACAAGCAAGTTTGACAGCACAGGAAATCTGTGTATTGTAAAAGAGGGAGTACAAATATTTTCCCTTTTTCATTGTGATTAATTAAATGAGCATTATTGTCGTTATCCAAAGACCTGGGAGAAGAGGCACCTAAACATATGTAATGAAGGCGCCAGGTGAGTCTGCCTGGAGAAAGCATTCCACAGGCGGGGAGCCATCACAGAGCAGGCCCATTCTCATGTTGCCCACCCTCTAGACCTTTCATGGAGGAGGTACACAAAGAAGGGCCTCAGATCATGATCACAGGGTCCAGGTTGGTTCATATGGGGAAATATGGTAAAGAATATTTGTTTGGTTGTATTGATAGCCTGTTATTTTCACCATTATCTGTCTTATAAAACATTTTAAAAACTTAATGCTGAAAGACCATTTTTTGTTTATACATAGTATGTGTACACACTATGAATTTATAGCGCATTTAAAGCACAAACCCCAAAGAATCATGGGAGCTGTAGTTTGTTAATGATGCTGGGAATTGTAGCTCTGTGAGCTGTAAACAAGAGTTCTCATAATTCTTTGGCAGGTGTGGAAAAATGTGTTTTAGATGTATGGTGTACAGAGCCAAATAATGCCAAACCCCTATGAATACAGGACACAATTATGCTTAGGTTCTTTTTGAACTGGCTGCCCACTAAAGAAGAGGGTTCTTTTTTTACCATATAGCACCATTTTATTGCATTGTGGTTGAAGTAGTTTCCCCGTTCTTCTGTTGGTTGTGGTTTAACTGTCTTAGCTTTCTCAGTCATAAGTCAAAGTCTTATAGTCTAAAACTTAAAAGAGTTTCAAAAGCAGTTTATGGTTTAGCCTGAGGTTCTGGGGCTCAAAGGAGGAAAATGTCAAAAAAATCTTCATTGTCTGGATCCCAGACATAACATAACGTTTCACAGGTGAGGTGGATGGGATGGGAGGGGTGAACAGAAAGCAGCAGGACACCCCCACCCCACCCCCAATTCCCTCCTAATTTATTGGACTTTTCCCCTTCCCATATTCCCTATTGTTCTTTGCCTGCTTCCCAAGTTCCTGGACTGAAGTTGGGAATTTGGGGGGAGGGAGGGACCAGTCCCCTTCACGTCTTACCCTCTACTTAAGTCCCATTTGGAGACAGCATGCTGCCTGCCTCTCCTCCATCAACAAATAACCCCACAACATTCTGTCTCTCATGCTACAGATGCTCTGTGGGCAGAGGAAGAAGCACTGGACACCCCCCTCCAGGACTTGCATGTGCTGGGATTGATGGGTTTAATTATTGACAACGAGGCTGGGGAGTTTGGAAAATACCAGCAGCATGATGAGTAATGAGCAACATATTATTACAGCCCCAAGGCTCCTTTTTATATGGCTCCCACCATTCATTGAGATGCATAAAGAAGGCAGATGTAGCAATCCCCTTCCCAGCCATCTTCTAAAATTGCACCCGTTGGTTCTCCTTGAATATTTCTCTCTCTCTCTCTGGTCTGAAGTCAAGTAAGGGGTGTATCTGCCTTTGAAGTAAATCTTCTGCCTGATTTGCGCTGCCTGATTAGTTTGTAAGAGCGATAAGAAGCTATTCTCTACCGTGCTGTTTAAACATCTGTTCTTCTGATCTCGTCATCGTCATCTGATCCCCGCGCTCGTTTTTTGGTTGTGTGTGCGCGTGCGGGGGAGGTTGTTTCATTGTCTCCAAATCCAAGTTTAAGGACCTATATAGTTGCCTTTGAAGTCAACGGAAAAGCTTCGGTAGGGGACGAAGCCAGGTGGGTGGGTAGGGGGTCAAACCAACACACTGGCGCTCGCAGCTCGGCCGGCCACACCACACCCCTGCATCCCTGAATTTTCCGTAGTTTTGGGACAAGTTCCCTATGAAAAGAGCCCGCACCTGCAAAGAGCGCACCCTCCCTCCCTCCCTCTCCCTCTTATTGCAGCGGACGCCAGGGGTCGCGCCTTTCACAACTCTGGAGATTCAGGGCAAGGGGGAAGGAGGGCGAGATCCTTGGGCTTTGGAGAAAGCAAACCACCTTGGGCTGAGCAGATGACGCCCAAACAACGTGCCACCATCACCATCTAACAAATTTATCCTCAGTCCTTTCGAACTAAAAGAGACAACAACATATCCTCATATGCCAAGAAGACGAATAACTCAGGGCGTTGCTTTTTTCCCCCATGAGTAAGTAATATCAGATACTCCCGCGCGCTCTCGGCTGCCTGACATACGAAATGAATGAACATTTCGAATACACTGGCATACACTTAATCGCTCTGCACTCAATGAGGGGCAGCTATGTGAGGCAGCAACCCTATCCTACCCAGTTGAACTTAATGGGGCTGATCTGCGTGCCGAAGACTCCGATGTAAGCACCGCGTCGGAGGAGAAGCGAAAGTCCAGTCCTCCGCGTTAGATCTGTGGTGCCCCACGGAGACAAGCGTGCAGATCACCGCTCCATGATGTGCAAGCCTAAAGTTTGTGCCAAACAGCTCGCCCCACAGCCCCACCTCATATATGAGAGAGGAGCGCAGGAATCGGGGCTAGTTTGGTCTTGCAGAACGATTTCCTTACTTCTCCTGGATAAGTCTATTTACTGGAGTCCAGATATGTAGAAAACCAAATGCCGAAACGTCTTTCTCGGATCAGTCCTTAGTCAGATGCTTATTGCCTGAGAAAGAGAGAAAGAAGGTTCCCCCTTCTACGGAGGAAGCTGCTTTATACTGAACCAGAGCATCGGTCAATCTAGATAGCACTGTTTGAACGAGGAACCTTCAGCACCTCCTTTTCTGAAAGGTGTGCTGTGCCTTCCAGTACTTGCCAAGTCTGAAACCACGTCCAGATCTCGCAACAGCTCAAGGGGCTCAAGGGGCTCTGGGGAGCTCTGGAGGAAACGAACCGCTCCGTGGCCCCGGGGCAACAAGAGGGCGTCGCGTCGTCAGCCTTTCATTCTGGAGAAGCGGACACGAGCGTGCCCGGAGAGATCCCTCGCGAAAGCGATATTTCCAGGGCACTTTCGGTGAATCAGACCTTGTTTTCGAGAAGCCGATGCACAAAGGAAGCTTTCAAGGGATACTTGTGCCAAGGTGGGGAAAGGGAAGGCTGGGCAAAACCTAGGAAATAACCTTGTGTACTTTTGGAGGGGGGGCGGCGGAATGAAAACAGGCTGCTGTGTGTGTTGGCCTCTCCTATCAGGGCACAGCTGTCAAGCAAGAGGGAAATACACAGCCCCTTTCACCAAGTAGTACAAAGCGCCAAAGGAAGCTCAGAAACATCTCGCCCAGCTCTCTAGGAAGGGCCTTTGGGGAGATATGGGAGGGGAGGAGGATCCCCATCGAGGTCGACGGAGGAAAGAGATTCCTAGTAGACTGCACGAAATGAAGAGGAGAGACCAAATTTGCACCCGCTCATCTGGGTTTATCTCATTCAACCCCTCTACCCACTCGCCCTGCCTTCTCCCTTGAGGCTCATTGACGGGCAAGTCCTACCTAGATGTTGTCTAACCTGGAAAGAATGGCCCCATTCGCCACAAACTTCACCAGTGTCTCCTGCGTAATCTGACCAGGCCAATCTACTGGAATCCAAGGTTCAAACAGGGTCGCTTTGGCCTTCCTTCGGTGGAAAACACACACAACCCACAGCCCCACGCTTCCAACACACACACTTCCAACGATGTCTCCGAACTCCTCCGAGGACGATGCCCGTGTGAATTAAACAGGGGCACGATCCAGGGGCACTTTTCGATCTTGCACGAACTTCAGCTGGGCTCCTGTCCGGTGCTTTCATCTCGCCTATTGAAATCAATGGGGCCTGCAAATCCAACTTAACTCAGATGCACTTAGCTTTGGAGGCAAACCTGCAACGTGCTTAACTTTAGCCGACTCCTGCTCGCTAGTAGAACATTGTCACCATTATTTGATGTATAACATGTTTCCATTTTTCAGATTGGCCCTCTCTGCCACCTTCTGATTGTAAAAATGTGATGTTATAATAACCTACAGAGATGCGTAAACTGGATGCTTCTCTCACCCCCAAATTTCAGAGAAATTACAAAGCCGAGTAACCACCAGGGATAAAGAGAAAAGATGCTTGGGGTCAACGTTATTCTTCCTTTTTTACTAGGTACAGCGTAGTAGCACTCATCCAAGACAGTATCAACTTGCCCCCTATTCACTTAAGTGGGAGGCAGATCCCATTCAAACCGCCAGGCAAAGATCACGAGGCACCCAAAAGGAACCTGCGCGACCCTTTGCTGCATTACCGAGGGAGACACCGAGATGCCTCCTAGATCCTGAACCACGTGTGTGTGGAATGCATCGTACAATACATAAGGAAAATAGCTTTAGTTCAATCTTTATGATAGTGTGAAACAGTGATGATGTGTTTCTAAGTTGGTTGGGAGAAAGCTTCCCAAGAAGGGCGTGATCCTCCTTTGCTCCTCTATGCAAGCTTTGTTTTTTAAAAAAACAAAAAACTGCGCAGTGCGATCCTATCCACGTTCCTTTGAGACAAGTCTCCTTGAGTTCCGCAGCCCTGTGCGCGGCACTTCGTGGAGAAGAGACCAGCGGCACATACTTCTTAGCGCTGCGCGGCTAAGGAACAGCGTCGTTCACCGAGGCTGCAAGCGAGCCAATATGCAGAGGGTCGGGTTGCCCGAGACCTGCTGCTGCCGTACCAAAATACCTTTCCCCCCCTCAGCGTGACTCCCCCTGGGACATCCCCGGCACCACGAGAGAAGCGAGAGATCCTCAACAGGTGATCCCCATACCCTTCCCAGCCCCGCACCAGGAAAAAGGGCGCACTTACTTCCCTGCCGCCGGACTCTGGAAGGGTTCTGCTGGCTGCCGACGTATTCCATCAAGTTCAAAGTGATAAAGACCCAAGAAACCAGTCGCAATTGCATAGTAACCCTGTACGAAGTTCCCGTCTCTCGGCCTTTTCGGAGGGGAAGGAAGAGGAGGCGGCGGAGTGGGGAGGGAGGGGGGAGGGCGGCAGAAATACCTGCCTGGGAGGCAAGGGCTCCCGAGCGTCTTCTTGTTTACAAACAAGCGAGCCAACAAATGTCACTGGCGGCGGCGCGCGGGCTCTTAATTATTGCACTTTCAAGTCGCCCCGACGATGGCCTCCGGGCAGCCTCCTCGGAAGGACGGCGAAAGAGAACGGCGGGAACCCGGGAGCGAGGCGCCTGGTCGATGTCAGGGCAGGTAGCATGTTGCGAGGGGGGGGGAAGAGGGCAATAAGAGGGTTGGGCAAAGGTTGCTCGTGGCGCGGGGCGCTCCCACCCGGCTCGGCTACAGGTCGGCGCTCCCAGTCAGAAACTCCATGGGCAGGTGTGCCTTCCTCTTGGGCGCTGCTCACCTTCGCTGAGGAACCCCATAGAGAAGGGCAAGGGCAGGCGCGGGGAAGGAGCCCGGGCTGCTGGTGGTTGCGGGGCCGGCGAGCCGGTGGCCGCGCTTCTCCCTCTCCCTCCGCTTCAGGGCTGAGCGCGCCCTCCTCGGACCTGGCTGGGAGCTGTAGCCTCAGACGCCTCGAAGCCCAGCAGCATCTTTCTGAGGGAAGGCGTGGGTAGTAGGAGCGCCGCCTCAGCTCCACTAGGCGGGAGGCGCCTCAGAGCGCGAGGAGCGGCTCCGTTCGCAGCGGGCGAGGGCTTCGGAAGGCAGCGGGGCGAACGACGGCAGCAGCAGCAGCAGCCCCTCAGACCGTCCCTCGCAGCTGGGCGACAGCCGGACTCGGAGCAAAGCTTCTTTCCGCTGCCTTCGCGGACTCTGCCTGCGAGCGGGAGCGAGAGAGCGCTTCCCACTTACTCCTCCCTCTCCGGGAGTCCAGGGGTATTTTTGAAGCCCGCGTCGAAGTGTGGAAAGCAAAACTCCAATCGGACGCGCAGCCGCCTGGGCGAGGAACTTCCAATCGCTGGCGGGCGGCTTTGGCTCTAGCTGCCGAGGGAGGGACGCGGCGCGCGACGGGAGCGGGGAAACGCGCGCGTGCGCGTGGGGGTGCGAGAGCGCGCCCAGAACTCTCGCTTCTTGCTGATGCCGGGGCGTCGCTCGCCGTCGCCTTCGCTTCCCACACAATTCGAGGAGCCACACGCTTTTCTCTGTCAATATCGGGGGGGTTTCGGGGGTGGGGTTAGTCTGCATGATGCCTGAGCGTGTCCTCATGAAACATTTCTTGGGGCCAACTAACAAGGATAAAGCAGCGAGTGCAGCTAGATTTCAGATTTCACAGAAGTCGGTCAGCCCCCCCCCCCACTTTCTGATGATTAGAGATAAGAAGCTGCGTTGTACTGAGGGCGCTCCCTCCCAGGAGATCACTTTTTTGAGGGATTTAATCACATACAGTATAGGCAGATTCATGTTGCACAGTTATAATCGATATGGAGGGCTTGCGCAGCAAACCTCCCCGCCCCCCCGCCCAAGATTGGACTTCCTCCAATAAGTGGGAAAAACTGGGTTGGGGAAGGTGTAGGGTAATACCTGCTTTGATGCACTGTCGTCTAGCCTCCCCAATAACAAATCAGAGTGAATGCTCATTAAATATCTTTATTATCTTTATTTATATCCCACCTTTTTCCCCAGACAAAGGACTCAATGTGGCTTACAGATAAGACAAAAACACAGATAAAATAGAAAAAGGCTAAAAATATAGAAGAGACAGTCATTAAAAATAATTAAACACTAATATAATCTGCTTATAATAATATACAATAGTAAGATTTATTTAAAATGATATAATAACGATGAAAACATCACAGTAGACCTTTCCTTTAAAAGAGTCAGTTCCTAAAGAACTTTTGGAATAAAAAGATATCCATCTGCTGGCAGAAGGAGAACAAGGAAGAGGCTAGTCAAACTTCTTATCAGGGCGGGGAAGTTCCAAAGTCTGGGAGCAGCCACCAAAAAGGTCCTTTCCCGTGTCAGTACCAAGCATGCCTGTGAGAGTGGCAGAACTCAGAGAAGGGTCTCCCATGAAGATCTCAGAGCCCAAACAGGTTCAAATGAGAGAATACAGTCTTTCATCTTGAACCTAAGCCATATAGGGCTTAATAGGTCATAACCAGCACTTTTAATTGTGCCTGGAAACAGATCAGTAGCCAGTGGAGCTGTTGGAACAAAGGCATCATATGCTCCCCATAACTAGCCCTGGTCAACTGTCTGGCTGCGGCTCTTTGGGCCAGTTGAAGCTTCTGAGCACTTTTCAAAGGCAGCCCCACATAGAGCGCATTACAGTAATCCAAATGGAATGATTTGTGTCACTATGGTCAAATTAGACATTTCCAGAAATGGGTGCAGCTGGTGCAGTAGCTTTGAGAAGAGGCAGTTTGAATATCGTTAAATGCAATTGTTGTTTTTATATATGCTTCCCAAACCTTGAGTCCCTGAACCAAGGTACTCATTTACACCCTGTGACCTCCGAATATAGGGTGGTATATAAATTCAATCAATCAACCAATAACTGTGCAAATGCACTCCTGGCCTCTGCAGAGACCTGGGCATCCAGGCTCAGGACTAAGTCCAGGAGCACATCCAGGAGCCAACACCATCTAATGTCTTGGCAAACAAGTCAGGATGAATACTCATTAAACAGGTCATCTGGAAGTGCCCTGAATCAAACTACTGGTCCTCTAGTTCAGTGTTATCTGCATACTGACTGGCAGCAGCACTTCAGGGTTTCAGGTAGGGAGTTGACCCTAGCCTTACCTGGACTTTCCACATGCAGATCATGTGTTCATCTACTAATCCGTCACCAAGTATATTGGTACAGGGCCAGGGGAAACTTATTTTTGCAATATGTAACAGCAGGATTTGGGTATCTTTTTCCAACAGAGGATAACTTTTCATAACCTCCTGGGGGGCCACATGTGACTGCTGAATGGGGTCAGAAGAAAAAATTGGGCCATGCAGTGGCTGTGAGGCTAAATTCCAGCTGTGCAAAAGACAGAGATTTCTACACCTGCACTCATTGCTCTCCATCCTGGCATGTGAGAGGTATTATCACAGGTCAAGGACACATTCCAAGCCAGGCTACTTAGGTTTGGTTGTGCCTAGTGCAAAAGGATTTCAGGTTGCACCGGAACGAAGTATGAGAAAGAGGCAATGGCCACCTTTCCTCTGAAAGTATAAAAACAATACAATTATTCAAACGTGAATGAAGTGCTAATCAAAACTTATGGTTATGAGGGAAGAGGGTTTAAAAACGCAGTATTCCTTCCAGGAGTGCAATGCTACAGCTTCCTGATCATCATCTTAAAACTATAATGGATTGCATACGTACAGGGCTTTCAGCACACCGTGCGCTATCATTTCTCTTTTCTGCATTTTTCTCTTTTAAAATTGTGTGTGAGAAAGTGTACCGTGAAACTAAAAAAAAGAGCGTACTGCTGTGTGATATTAGAGGGTTCTAGAACAGTATTGTGGCACCGTTCCTGGTTGAAAAGTATCATTCAAATCTTCCCCCACCCTATACACTTTTTGTGTTATTAACTGTTATGTTTACCCTACTGACAAAAGACTGTCAACCTAAATATCCTGCGGTCTCCTACTGAGGTTTTCTTTGCAGGAATTTCTAAAACCACACACACACACACACACACACACACACAAACGTATAGTATTTTCAAGTGTACAAAATAATTCATAATTCCTTACAGGAGCCCCACATTGGAGACTGGACTGAAAGACAATGACTTCACCATGAGATTAGAGTTTGAACTTGGGTTCATACTGAACCCCTTAAAAATAAAATCTACTATACTGTACTCCACTGCACACAACATAGCATGCAAAGTTTTCTATGAAGCTGATGAACTTTGATCATTAATTATGGCTTAAGCAACTTACTCAGAAGTAGTACTGCTGAAATCAAATGAAATGTTTGGAATATATGGTGTTCTGAGCACAGTCTTAGCAACCTGATCCTATGTATATTTACTTACAAGCAAGACCCACAGAGTTCACTGGGACTTGTTCCCTTTCTCAAATAAATGTATGCAGAATGTTCCCATGGAAATGTGCTCAGTATGTAAGAAATTCCCATGTAAATTTGTGCACATCTTTTAATGGCATTAAGGCACAAATGCACAGGCTACATTGCAGTGCCTTTGCAGTCAACTGCACTGTCAAAAAATGTGTTTAGTTAGCCCCCATCTAAATCATTTCATTTCCAAGAATACTGAATTTTAAATTAAAAATTATCATATTCCTTGTCTGTTTTATCTTTTTCCTACAGAATTTCCAGTGATTTTATTACCGTACCCAATACACTGAAACATTGTTTTCCTAGTAAAAAGAAAAGAAAAGAAATGCAGGTCCTTGTGAATCAGAAACAGTGCCAGAAATCTGGGAGAGAGTTTCTGCCCATTAAAAATTCATGCCATCACTGAGATTCAGTCTTGTAAAACACAACAGGATCAGAACAGTCAGCAGGAGATTGCTTTCCAAATAATTGATATTTGCATTTCTTCAGCCTAAAGACTACCCAAATGCATGCACACCTTAATCCCAAACATATTTATTTAGAAGTCATGCTGATTTTCACCTCTTTTTTTATGCAGAAGACTGTCATTTATACAGGAATGTTTTTGTAAGAAAATGGAATTGTGGGAGGGAGACATTATCTACTTTCTCTTACCTATTATCAACATACAGCTACTTTTTAAGAGAAGGAAAATACCTACAACCACTTGTATTGTACCAGAAATCATAAAGCAGGCTTCCTTTGAAAAATACTTCTTCGGAGTAGTTTTCCCCTTCTCACTGCATTGTTAAATATCTGAATCAGAAAATATGGGGGATTTAAAGATCTATGGGAGGTTCCCTTTGAAAAGAGATCCAAGGAAAATCTTTTAAATCCAGGATACTTGAGCTAGATGGCATGAGAACTGCCCCACAGACATAAAAATGAAAGACAATTCAGCCTTCAACTTCAGAAATACACCCATATACAGACAGAGTCTGCATTATTTGGGGATGGGGTGTGTGTGCAGTTTTCTTTTTTGCCTTTTGAAATGTCTGTTGTAACCAGAGGAAGGAATGGTGTTAATAAACAATCACAGGAAGAAACTAAAGGAATATACATTCAATACTAACCCACAGCAAAGTTGGACAGCTCTGCTGGAGAAGTGTTAACATTAAAAGTATGTTTTTTAAAAGCGGGTGGGAATGTTGAGGAAACATAAGGAAAACATTACATAAACAGTACATTCTCTCCAGGGACGAGGTATTCCAGACTAACCTTCACCAGAGTGCTTCACAATGCAGACACATTGCATAGATTCATTATATTGCTGTTAATGCACAGCTTCCAGTTATTAGGCAGATCGCATAAAAGGCTTCTCAGCGTCAGCTCAGACTGGGTTATACCCTGTATTCACTGCACCATCTCAGGGAGAATACATACTTTGTTTCAAACCAGAGACAGGTCCATTTTAATTGATGCATTTGGTTTTATCTAGACTCTTGGTCCTGTCCCACTCTCTGATATATTGGAGGGAAATGCAGTAATATTTGCTAAGCACTTCCAAAACGAGAAGCAAAATAAAACTTGAACACTATCTTAAAATATTCATAGTTCATAATTAATAGTTTATTAATATTCTGATGTATTTCAAATTTGGTACAGTATGGTGGGTGTTGGTTTTTTTTAAGTTAAGCTGCCTCCAGAGAAATCTTTTTGTAGTAAGTGGCATATATATATAATAAATAAAACACAATAATTCCCTAGTTCATTGGGGGTAATTGGGAAGGCTTATTGCATATTGATATCAATATTTTTGTGGTTGTATTTTTTGTAATTTTAAGTTTTAAAATTGTTTTTAATGTTGTATTTAAAATTGTTGTCTACCGAAGGCTTTTCACCAAAGCCAGACTAAATCTCTGCAGTGTTGGATGGTAGGTTGAGAGGAGTTCCCTACCAGGAC